CTCTGAGCAAAGACCCTTAACCCAACACTGCTCTCTGGGCGCTGCACAATGGCAGCCCACTGCTCCCCAAGGGGAAAGGTTAAATGCAGAGGTAATTTTCTCCAATGGGAGGTTAATAAAGTTCAATAATTTATTATTACTTCACTTTGGGATTAAATCTACACTTGTAGCAAAAAGTTAAAATGCGCTTGGCGAACTAGTTTATTATGGTGTGATGGTATTTTATCTCGCACTCAAAGTAAAGCATAATGTTTGCTATGACCTCAAATTCTACCATAGCACCAGAGTTTTTGTAACATCTTTCAGTTTTCCATATCAGTCACTAGGAAGTACAATAAATCCTATCACTTTATATGGATTTATAGTTATACATATGCATATATATATATATATATATATATATATATATATATATATATATATATATATATATATATATATATATATATATATATATATATATATATATAAATATTTGTATATCTGGAGCGTGTAACAAAAGCAGTTTCCCTCTGGGATTATTAAAGTATGTCTGATTCTGATTATTCAATAGTGTTTATTTTTTAGTTAATTACAGAGTTATAGAGCGGCTGCCATCGGCGTTGGCAGACCCTTTTCAGAGGAGCATGTGCCCTGCTGTGGATCTACAGTGCCTGGGTATGCCTGGGGCACTGATTTTTTAATTGATTAACTTTCCACTTTCACAGCTCATCTCTAACAGCTCCGCCGCCACTCTGGTGCGCCCTGAGCTGACAGGAAGTGTACTTGCTCACCACCTCCCGCCACAGCTCAGACGTTTTGAAGGTGATTGACAGGTCGAGTTGCTTGGGCTGGAGACGCATCGGAGAGAGAGAGAGACATGGTGCAAGAAACGTCCTTTTCCAGGACCTGGTTTAGCAAGAAGGCTTAGCTAGCAGCATGTAGCTTTATTCTGCTTTCCCTGCCTCCTTTTTCAAACATTAAGATCTGACTCAGTATGGATAAAGACGGCTAAGACTGATTTAAAGCACTTTGTAGAAAAGGCAAAGAAGAATGAACAATCTGGGATTCACATGGAAAATAATATAATATAGTCTACTTTTTCTAGATGTTTGTTAATCTGCATATTTGATCCTAAATAAACACATTGACAGAAAATAAATAGTTTTTATATATTAAAAAATATAAAGCTGACCAATAGATTCTCCATTATTAAACTGGTACATTGTTTTCTTAGGTTTGTGACATCATATTGGACCATGAAAAACACAGATTTACCTCCACAGAGCCTCATAAGGCAACATTTTTGAACAAAATGTAAAGCTGTTCATGAAATTATGGTTTGTTTTTATATGTTTATATGTTTTTGTTGTTGGCATTCATATAAATATATTGGTGTGATAATTTAGTGTACGTTTCACTGGCCGAGACGCTACCGTTTACCGTTACCGTTCTATATAGTGGTGTTTTTTTGTTTGTTTTTTTTTTTTCCTTTTACAGTTACAAATTTCAAGATTTCAGTTTTCAAGTATTCAATGAAGATAAATTGTGCCTTCATCAGTAGTGGATTAGAGAAATACAGTTAAGTTCACCAGTGGGCCATTTCAATTCAGTTTGGTTCAGGTAGGTATTTAATGATGCAGAAAATAACAATCTGATTGTACAATTTATTTATGACGCTTTATAATAATAAATAAGTGCTATAAAATATTTGCTCACTTGCTTGCATTAATTATCTGTGCACGTGCTTTTTTTAAATAAATAATTGTTCCCAATTTTTTTTGCATTTTATTTGGTGCCCTATTGTGCCCCTGTACAGTATTGGGTCAGCTGCCGCCCCTGGCACTGCTCCAGTCACATGATCAGAGTAAACAGTCCCGGGAGAAGAAAGTCAAACTGTTGTTTATGGAATATTTGGGGAAAAACCTTACAAATAAAAAAGAAGAAGTTCTAAACACACCTGTTGGTAGCCGCTTCTTCCAGTTCCGGGCATTCCTCCGCTCTTCTTTTCCTGACTGGGTCTTTGTTAGAATCCTTGAAATTATTTCTTTATAGTCACAACACTGACTTTGAAGAAGGCGGACATTTTTCAGAGAATCTCATTTCCCCTGAAGACGCTCAGCCGGTTTCTGCTGCAGTTCAGAGCCGCTTCTCATCCAACCCCCAACCAACCGCCCCTGTCTCTGCATTTACGCTCAAGTTTCTTTTTCTTGTTTCCTTTCCTCCTTCCCTTTCCTAGCGCTGCGTTCACGTACTCACGGGAATATTCACCACCTATTTTAACTCCAAAAGTTTATTTTATTAAAGACTCGTAACAACGTTGTTATAAGCGCACGTATAACATTTTCCTTGCTAATTTATTACTCCAAACCTGCCGAGTTAATTCTTTAACCTAAACGTTTTGTTTGGAAACGTGTTCGTTTTATCCAATTTAAGTACAAAGAAATTTGAACCAATTTCTTGTGTTGCAGAGAATAAAGGGAATTTGATCATTTTTCGTCGGGTTTATCCGAAGTTTATATGATATGCAGAAAGAAAATTTTAAACATTTTTGTAATAAAAAAAAAACTAAAAAAACTAAACATATAAAAAAATATAGATTGTACTCCTTCACAGACCCAAAGGTTAACGAAACAATAAATAGGCTTGAAACTTTTCTTTTTGATAAAGCTTATAGTCAGAGTGGCTCAGGTTATCCTAAGCTAGCTCTATAGTTATGCTGCTATAGGCTTAGACTTCCGGAGGACATAGGGACCACTATTTCATCACTCTGCTTCATTCTATCTCTATTCTCCCACACTGCAGAATCTGTTAATTCAATCTCTAACGTTTTGCTCTCTCTGTATTTTCTCATAGGTTCGCCTAATCTGTTCCTGTTTGGCTGTGACACCACCCTGGAGAGAAATATCAGCTGTGCTGCTGCCATCAACACCCTTGTTTATAGATGTTGGAGATTGGCCTGTTTTCCAGTGTAGTACTGTTTCTCTGACTATGACTAGCTGGATGTGCTCTCCTCATCCTCTGACATGGGAGCTGGCTCAGAGCTTGTCTGCTTGCCTGTGTGTTTCCTGGACAGGGCCGCATTTTACAGTTGCCTTTGTATCTCTGCTTCTGTCACCTTGAACCCCAGTCGGCCTCGGCAGACTGCTCACACTGAGCCTGGTTCTGCTGGAGGATTCTTACTGTTAAAAGGGAGTTTTTCCTCCCCACTGTCGCTACAAGCATGCTTAGTGTGAGAGATTGCATCCGAGTCAATGAGTCGATTCAATCAAGTGGTTTTCCTTAGATAGAAAACTTTGAATCAATTTGACTGTATGATCTGGTAAACTGTAAAGTGCCTTGAGATGAAATGTGTTGTGAAATCCCACTATATAAATAAACTGGATTGAATTAAAATTAAGTCTTTAATCTAAATGTTTTGTTTGGAAATGTGTTAGTTTGATCCAATTTAAGTACAAAGAAATTTTAACCAACTTCTTGGGTTACAGAGATTATAGAGAATTGATTATTTTTTCTTGGGTTTATTAGAAGTTTATATGATATGCAGAAAGAACATTTAAAAAACTTTTTCTAAATAAAAAAAAAAAACAAAAAAACAAAAAAAACATAAAAATATAGATTGTACTACTTTACAGACCCAAAGGTTAGCAAAACAAGAAATAGGAACAAAAAGAAATCGGAGAGGGTTATTTCCATCAAAATATTTATAATAATTTGTATATTTTTAATGATAGGCAATACACCGTTTTTAATCTTTGATAGATATTCTTGGGGTTGTTTGCATCTTATACTGTAATGTTAAACAAACTACTGTATTTCTATTTAGACTGGCCAAATAATTCAGTGAAAAATATCATTGTAACTTTATATGGTCATATTTAAACAATTTTAAAATATTGTAAATTGTGTAAATGTTTTTCAGTTTAAGAGGTTTAATAGTCACAGGCTATACATTTCACACTATAAATATGAACATATATGTATATTTATATATAGATTTTCCTTGGCATCGGTATTGACTTTCAATGTTATGATTCTGAGATTCAAAATCCTCATTTTGATTTTTAAAGTATTATTTAAGATCACAAGATAAAAGTCACAAGTAAGACTTTATTTCTTATAATTATTATTTGGAATCTCCTGATTTCAACTCTTAAACTCATAATAGAATAGATTTAAATATATGTCTTTGAAAGTTGAAATTGCGACTTTGTATCTCACTTATATTAATTGAAAATTTGACATAAATACTTTAAATCTAATGGTTATGACATGCAATGTGCCTTTTTTTTTGCTTTCAAATGGTAGCATTTGGCTCCCACAGTTTATATTTACTATGATTTTCTGTTTGAATTTCATCATTTTGAACTGAGTAAAGCAAATCCAAACAAACTATAAAAGATGAGAAGAAAACAGTTCTTAATCTTTAAAAACATCTTACAAGCATCTTGAGCCAGCTCAGCAAAAGCTGTAAGAAAATCAGAACTGAAAGTAAATTTCAAGGAATGTATTAAATTCACTTTTAATTTTAATACATTTAAGCACATTTCAATGAAAATAAACCTTTAAATCTTTCAATGAAAATAATTGTTATGTTTAAAGTTTGAAAGCAGGATAATAAAACTAATGGGAGGATAGATGTCTGTAGGAATTTCAGAGATGGGATGTGGTTTTGGTTTTATAAGACCGTGAGCAACCAACCTGGTAGAAGATAAAATCCAAAGAGAAACAGGTTGAAGTAAAAGTCACATATGTGTGGTTTGATTTTGAGCACCTGTGCCGCTTATTCTTAAACAGCTTAAACTCTCCATAATATCTTCTACGGTTCAGTTCATTAGACAATGATTATAACTCATACGAAATATAAAAAACAAACAAAATGAAACTAAAAAAAGCAATAGATTTCACATTACTCTATGAATAGCAGGAATTTAATTCCACAAACCCACTTGGGAATGTGTGTTCCTATTTCCGAGTGTATCCAAACGCAACATCGAGAAATAGTGTGACGAATAGGAAGTGGCAGGATGAGTTTCCGCACGAGCCCAGTCCAAACAACGTCCCTGCCATGGCAACGGTGCAGGTCTGTGTCCTGTTTCTACTTCTTTCTGTGAGTTTGGCAGAAGATGTGAAACTAAAATACAAACCAGCTACAAAACCAGTTCGGCTTTTCACCGAGGAGGAACTCCAGAGATATGACGGCAGGGAGGTAAACTTTTTTTTGCTACTTGTTTATGATCGCAATGTTCATTGGATGAGGAGTCACCTTCTTTCCATTGCTTTACGGCCCTTTTTCAGGAGGGCCAGCCTATTTACATGGCAATAAAAGGTGTCGTGTTTGATGTCTCCAAAGGGAAAGGTATTTAAATCGATCACATATATATATATATATATATATATATATATATATATATATATATATATATATATATATATATGTGTATGCATGTATGTATATATATATATATATATATATATATATATATATATATATATATATATATATATATATATATATATATATATATATATATATGTATGCATGTATGTATATATATATGTATGCATGTATGTATATATATGTCTGTATGTATTTAACTCGGATCAGTTCCCTGTCAGTTTATTTTCTACTTTGATCACACATAATGCTTTTGCTTTTTTAAATCTTTTCTCTTTTGCAGAGTTTTATGGTAAAGATGCTCCATATAACGCCCTGGTTGGGAAGGACTGCAGTCGAGCCGTGGCAAAGATGTCTCTGAAGCCAGCAGACCTGACATCAGATACTGTGAGTTAAAAAGCACCCGAGGTGCCTGATTTCCCCTCACACACCCACTCCATTGTCCTGACTGTTTTCATGCTGCCTGCTCCCATAAGTTGGATATATAATCCTTCTTTTATCTAGAACGGTGATTTGCATTCTTTAAGTTAATTAAGTGCATTAAAGTTGTGCAAAATCATTTGAATGCATCACGCTAAATTGGATTTTTGCACAGTAGGGCCTTTCATTTTCATAAAAGTAATGACCACAAAAGCAGAACATTTTGGGCCTGACTAAAACTCATTAAACACAGCATCCATAACTGCTTTCACATGATCATTTGCCCCCTTAGAGACATATATTTTTGGCACTCTTCAGTGTTTAAAATCATCAGATGATTGTTGATACGAAAAAAGACTCAGTAATTATAAACATTTTTCACATGAGGATACTATTTATTAAAGGGAAATACAATATCTAGGAATGTTTTAGAGGGTTTTAGTAAATGCAGGATAGGTTTTTGTGCTCTTTTAGTGGGTTTAAACCTAAAACTCTCACATGAATGCTATTTCTGCACATTTGTTGAATCTGGAACATTTAATGAGTTATTAAAGGCATGAAAATTTTTTAATGTTTCTATTTTTTATGATTTTTAATATCTTTTGGTTTTCCTCCTATCAACGCCACCATATACATGTTTGGCTCCAGGGTTTCTTTGTTTTTGTGGCTATGAATGTTCTCTTGTCCAGAGTTATTTTCTGCTAGCTTTTTGTTTTAAAGAAAAATACTTTCTTCTGCTAGTTGAAGAGCTGGAGTGAGAAAGTTGGTACCTAGTTAGAGCTGTTGTATGTTCAGGTTCAAGTTCATCAATAATATAGAATATTTAACATATTCAAAATAGAAATTCAACAGACATATCGAATTCAGATGACTTTATAACAGCAGCGTTTCACTGGGTTTCTCTGGCATATAGGGTTAAAGAATATAAATACATGGAACAAAACCAAAAATTTAATACCTCTGTGATTTTAAAAATAAAATAATTTAAAAAAAAATTATTTATTTTTACTTTGTTTGTTTTGGAATACAAAATTTGAATTTTTCCTTCACATACATTTCCTGAAACTTTTGGTTTTCTTTGTTGGACATAAGTTAACATAACTTAAGAAAATTTTTTCCTGCTGTCACCAGACCATCATCATTCTGTGAATCATCAGATCCAGATTTCTCAGAAACCTGCTGACTGTTGTGTTTCATTTAATCATTAACAATCAAATGCTACTTTGCATGTTTTGTTTTCATGAGACATTGTAAAGCAAAAGTTAGCAGAAGGAGATGGTGACTGTATTGGACAGACTTTTTTTGGGTGGAACCCGATTCACCCAGGAAGTAAGGTCTCTAGAATCCCCTTCAAATTTGAATAATAAAAATTATATTCATTTATCTGTACACCAATTCAGACTAAAGAGGCAGATTTTGTTTCTTTTCTCCTCTTTTTGAAATAGGTTAGTCAGAACCGACAGGATTTCAACAGCATCACTTTCATTTAATCAGATTCTCATTTGGTTTTAAGTCTGGACTTTGACTTTTAACAGATGAATTTACTTTGGTCTGAATTTTGGCTCTAGGGATTTAGGGACGTCCTTCTTAAAGGTGAGCTTCAGATACATACTTCATCAAAAAGTCTTTGCAGATCATGATGCTGCCACCACCGTGTCTTACAATGAGGTTAGATATGGTATCAAAATGCCCAGCACTCTCTGAATTTTATTAGTTAAAAGAGAAAACTTAAACCCGCACGCTTTTTTTGATTAAAATTCCAATATTTACCTTACTAAAAGAGAAACAACAGCCACCCGCCTTGTTGACATGACAGATTACATGTAGCAAGGAGTTCAGTAGATAAAGCACAGTCTGTTCAGCAACTCCAAGATAAAGCCAAAGTTTAAACTAATCAATACAATAATGTGTCTCTTTTTTTTCACCATCCACTCCCCTCCAGGCTCCTGGCCACGTGCTCCAAATCAAACACTCTCTTGCTTTGTCTTACAGAGGTGTCTGTTCCCAGGATCCCCCCCCATAGATTTACAACCCTCAGCGTATCAGCTAGAGCAGGGATCTCCAAAGTCGCTCCTCAAGGGCCGCTGTCCTGCAGGTTTAAGAGGTTTCCCTGCTCCAGCAAAGGTGATTTAAAATTATAGTTGATTAACAGGCTTTTGCTGAACTGCAATCTTCAGAATCAGCTGTGCTAAAGCAGAGAAACCTCTAAAACCTGCAAGACAGCGATCCTCGAGGACCGACTTTGGGGATGCCTGATCTAGAGGATGCCTGGTCTTCTTTATCTAAAAGCAGATAACATCCCCAGGTTGAATATCTAAGTCCCTATTTTTCCAAAATTTTAAATCTGACACTTAAGGATTATTCTGTGTTTGTAGGTCGCAAAAATAGCACTAAAATACAAAAATTTTGAGGAGTGGTTGCTTAGTGGTTAAGGCATAGAGCTTGGAATCCTGAGGTTGTGAGTTCGAGCCCCTCTCCCACAGACTGCCACTCTGGAGGATAGGTTAAATGCAGAGGTACATTTCTCCAATGTGAGACTTATTAATGGTTCCATTATTATAAAAGGTTTTCTTTTATCTTGTCCTTTACAGACTGGCCTCACTGAGGAGCAGCTAAAGAGTCTGGATAGTATATTTGAGGAAACGTACAAAGCCAAGTATCCTATTGTGGGTTACACTGCAGCACGTCTCCTGAACAAGGATGGAAGCCCCAACGAAGACTTCAAACCAGAAGACCAGCCCCATTTTCAAATCAAAGATGAGTTCTAGGTTCAATTTAGGGTTTTCTACTCTACATCTAATAATGATGTAAAAGTGAGAAACATATTTTCAGGAGAAAATAAAAATAAATTATTCTTTAAAGATCCTTTGAATTTCTTTATCCTCAATTTCTTATGTGTGGTGAAAGCTGGAGCTGTTTATAGAAACTGGTCATTTTACTCCTGTTTTTATTTGTTTCATAACCAACGTTTAACTGCACAAAATGGAGCTGGCTGCACTGGTAATGTCATTTAGCTCACATATATAGACATTGTTATGTACATTTTATATGTAATTTTACAATATTTCACAGTTACTTGTACAAAAGATGTGACACCAAACACACACACATATATATATATATTTATGGTCTTCAGGAGCGGACTCTGCACTCTAAAAGACCTCAGTTTCCTCTGGAGGAAGAGTCTGCTCTGACCCATTTTGTGGAGGGTCTCAGTGCTGTGGGTCCAGTCCAGCTTTTTGTTCAGGTATTTATAAGATTCCACTATCTCAATGTCAAGTTCCTGGATGTTCACCAGTGTCTGTGGGGTGGATCTACTTCTGTGAAAGTCCTCCACTAGCTCCTTGGTTTTCTCTGGTATTCAAAAACAATAAAAAATAACATCGATCCACCTTTCCAGATGGAGCAATCTTAAAAAGCACAAGTGAAAATCTGATCCCCTAATTGTAGTTTCCATTAGTTGAAAAGTGTTTATTTTAGATTATCTTGTGGACCTGTATAATATTATGGATACTGGAGCTTGACTGGGATAGTTGAACGGCTCAAAGTGGATGTCGTAAAAATATCCACATTTTTAAATCCAAAACTTGACTGATATGATATAGTTTAACCTACTGACCCCAACTGAAAGACTATTCATAAGCTCAGGAAATGTTTTATTTTGGGTGTTTTAGCTGATTCGGGTTCAACATCGTAAGATTCAAATGTTGACATTTTTCTCGTTCCAATTCCCTGGGTCACCTAATGTGGGATTTTCATTAAGTGTCTGTAAGCCATAATCATAAATCAATCTTACAAAGAATAAAGGATTGAAATATCTTTATGTGTAGTGACTTAATTTAGTACATGAGTTTCCCTTCCAACTTACCGTAAGTCACAGAAATTATTACACTTTTTCCCAATATTCAGATTCCTTTACATGTACCCATAGAGTTTGATAAGCTGATCTTGAGGGTCATGTGTGCTTTCAAACCAAGCAGCTGGGATTTCAGAAACAAAGAGGAGTGGCTTACAACTCTCAGCCTTTATTTCTCAGATCAGTCCAGTCCTTTTGCTCTCACAGACACCTGCAGTTAATTTAAATCCATTTCAGATGACTACATCAAGGCATCAATGTGTACTAGAGGTGAGTATTGGCATGAGCGTTGCGATTCGTTACATGCCACGATACTTGGGTCACGATACGATATTATCACGATATCGCAGTATCACTATATATTGCCATATTTTCCCCAGCTATCAAAATCAAATGATGAGATAAAACAGCAAGTGCTGTATATTTTCATCAGAAAATATTGATTAGGTATTATTATACATGTTGTTTGGGGTTTTCTTCCACTGTGACTGCCTCAAATACAGATGTGGTGCTGCACGCACACTTAAAGGGCTCCACAGCGCTTTCTGCCAGAGTGGTGGTGCAGAGGTAGCCCATTTTCCCATCAATGTTTTATGTAACCATTTTTTTTTTGAAAATCGATACTAAGAAGTAAAAGATCAATATTATATTGGGCAGCCGAATATCACGATATATCGCCAAAACGATTATTTCCCACATCCCTAATGTGTACCTTGTCCCTTGTGGAGACCTCCAGTTGATTCCAAAGTCTTAAGTGTGGATACAAATATTGATTTAGAAGAGTCTGAATATTCACAAACTCACATACTGTGATCCTTACAAGCAAAAGGCAAGATGTTTTTTTATGTGGTCCTGTTTTACTTTTAATATAATGTTATAAAATATATTATCTTTTTTTATTGTAACAACAGTAAGCATGTAGATTTTTAAATTAAAAAAATCTAACAAAAAAAACATGAAGCGGGAAATGGATATAGTGTCCAAATATGTTATGGGTCCACCCTGTGGTCAGTCTCTGCCAGCAACATCCTACTATTCCATATATAGTGAGTACAGAAAGTATTCACACCCCTTTAAATTTTTCACTCATTTTTTCATTTCAGCCGTTTGCTAAAATCAAACCATCCATCTTCTGTTACGCTTTTCCCAAGCAGGGTCGTGAGGGGTGCTGGTGCATATCTCCAGCTGTCAATGGGCGAGAGGCGGGGTAAACCCTGGACAGGTCGCCAGTCCATCACAGGGCATTTGCTAAAATCAATAAAGTAAATTTTATTTCTCATTGATGTACACTCAGCACCCCATCTTGACAGAGAAAAACAAAATATGTGTTCATTTTTTCAAATTTATTAAAAAAAAGAAAAACTGAAATATGAAATGGTCATACCATAAGTATTCAGACCCTTTGGTCAGTATTGAGTAGAAGCATCCTTTTGAGCTAGTACAGCCATGAGTCTTCTTGGAAATTATGCAACAAAAAGGACTGATGACAGCGCTTACCAGCTTAAACCGTGCCATCAGACCAGCGAAGCGGAACCACAGCTCCCCCGCGGGTACAGCTGATGCTGACTTCCTGAATTACCTAAAGAACTTCTTTGGAAGGTTTGAGTCACTAACCCTTCTAAAAGCTGTACAAAACAAAATTTCGTTTTGTATACTCTGTTTATACAAAATTACAATAATAGTAGTCTAACATGATTTCACACCTGGATATGGGGATCCTCTGCCATTTTTCCTTGCAGATCCTCTCCAGTTATGTCTGATTGATGAGCGTCAGTGGACAACCATTTTCAGATCTCTTCAGAGATGCTCAGTTGGGTTTAGGTCAGGGCTCTGGCTGGGCCAGTCAAGAAAGGTCACAGAGTTGTTCCCAAGCCATTTTGTTATTTTAGCTGTTCGCTTAGGGTCATTGTCTTGTTGGAAGGTGAACCTTCGGCCCAGTCTGTAGTCCTTTTCTTCCAGGATATCTCTGTACATGGCTGCAATAATCTTTCCTTCAATTGCAGTCGTGCTGTCCCTATAGCATGATGCTGCTGCCACTGCCATGTGTCTCACTGTTGGGATTATATTGGGCAGGTGATGAGCAGTGCCTGGTTTTCTCCAAAGATACCGCTTAGAATGAACACCTCCTCCCACGATTGCTCACTTTGACTTGACAGCCAGGTCTAGGACGAGTTTTGGTCATCCCAAACTTCTTCCATTTAAGGATTCTGGAGGCCACTGTGCTCTTAGGGAACCTTAAATGGTGCAGAAATTTTTTTGTAACCTTGCTGCAATTCTGTCTCTGAGCTCTTTGGGCGGTTACTTCAACCTTATGATTCTTGCTTGTTCTTGCATACACTGAGCTGTAAGGTCTTATATAGACAGGTGTGTGCCTTTCCTAATCAGATCCATTCAGTCTAATTGAACACAGCTGGACTCCAATGAAGGAGTAGAAATATCTAACGGAGGATTAGAAGAAATGGACAGTATGTGAGTTGAATATGAGTGTCACGGCAAAAGATCTGAATACTTATTACCATGTGATATTTCAGCTTTTCTTTTTAAATAAATTTGCAAAAATTTCTACTTTTCTGTTTTTTTCTTTTAAAGGAGGGGTCTTAAAAAATAAAATAAACTTTTTTGATTTTAGCAAATACTGAAATGAAACAATGAGTGAAAAATTGAAATGGGTCTGAATACTTTCTATGCCCGCTGTATCAAAATCATCGTTCGTGCTGTATTTTTTCTTGTGATCGACTGAAACAAGTTATGTAATTGGTTGCAAATCAAAGCTTGTAAAAAAAATCGAGTCACGTCAAGTGAGTCTCAAAAACCCACACACAAATGTAGTATGTTCAAAGACCACTGGTAGTTTATAAATGAAGATATAATTGTGTATACATAACACATACTTTTGTGAATCTTGTAAATACGTACATTTCATGTGCTTGTTTGAATAATTAAGAGCATGTGTGATGAAATCTCGTCCTGTGTGTGTGGATCATGTAATGTGAGTTTGTGAGTATTGAGACTCTTCAAGCTTTGTAGATCAGAAAGAAATGTATTTCAAATGTCATGAATACATATTCAGGCAAGCTGATAAGTGTCAATATGACCACTTAAAATGTGTCAAAATTTCTTGGCATGTTAACTTAATTTGTACCAGTACAATTTTGTTTATTGACTTTCCGAAATTCAGTTTTTGCAGGCAAAAATGTGAATGTGAATTTAAATGTAATTTAGAAAATCCATTGTCAGAGTTCCAAATAGGAATGGGATTTTGATCAGGAAGAATCCTAACATAGTTATTTACAAATGGAAAAACAGAGAGGAGAGTGCTCTTAATAAATGTCAAAACGGCCTGCCATGCCAGACTTCATATAGGCTAATGCGTTAACTCCAGCAGCAATCTTCTCTCACACCATCTCCATCTCCTTTTTCAGCTCTAGCACCGTTGCTCTGTGTTTTCAAACACATTCTCCTTTTTTTTCAAAAGTTCTTCATTATGATCTCTAAATCCAGTGGTGTGAAATAAGCACTTCATGTTGCCTGTTGACATAGTGGCTCGTTGAATAGGTGCTCTGCTGATAATGGATTTTTATACTCGTTATGCACATGCTCAACTCTGAGTGGATTAACAAAAATTCACAGCAACCTTTGTGAAACTAAAAAACTCAGTTTCCCACCTCAAGCTAGATTAATTTAAAGTTGAGAGTTTGAGTCTGTTTGTTAAGTCTACTTTGTGAAACCTGCATTTGATTGAGACTATGAGCGATGCATGGCACAGTTGCTGTGTTTTTTTTTTCTTTAGTATAATACTTTTGTACTTTTTAAGTCCAGTGCTGAAGCTGCCAATAGTCACTGCTGCCAACCTCTGGTTTAGGAGAGAACTGCTTTTTCCGCCAAATAATTTTAAAGAATCCTTTGAGACATTCTATCATCCGGATTATGATGTAGATTATCACCAAACTTTGTTGTTCCTTGGACTGCGGCGCACCTTTGGTAAAGATGCAATTAAAATATGTTCATATCTTTTAAAGTTATCCTGTACACAAACTGAAAGTCAAACAAACACAGAAAGTTGACTAAAAACATGACCTCCTCAGCGGAGGTAAACATTTGATCACAACTAAACTCTTTAAACCTGTAGCTTTAGAACAAACAAAACCCGTCTATTTATTGTTGGACAAAAGTTTTCTTTTAACAAAATAATATATAAAAGTCAAACTGTCAGTAAGATCCTTAGGTTTTTGGTAATGATTTTTGGTCAGTTTATTTTTCGGCCATTTATGTGAGCCAATTATATTTATTTTCTGTGTTTGTTATTGTTGGGAGTTTTCCAGTTTACTGTAGATATTTTTGTAATGGTTGAGGTCATGTTGGCTATGTGTAATAATTCTATGAATCAAACTGAGTCTAAATTAAATGTGTAACTCAAGAAGCACACATTTGAAGCTTTACAAAAGGAAAAAAAATATATATATATATATACCATATATATATATATATATATATATATATATATATATATATATATATATATATATATATATATATATATATATATATATATATATATATATATATATATATATATATATATATATATATATATATGTACATAGAAAAAAAATGGAAAATGCACATTGCATAAATGTAAGAATTTTTTGACAGGATTTATGACTCCAAAGACTAACACCAACTGAGAAGAGAGATCTATGGGAATGCTTATTTGTGTTCTGGGGGTGCAGGAGTCTCCTATCACTGAAGGATTCTGTAACCGCTTCACACGTGTGGTTCCCATTCTAGGACAGAGCTGGCCTTCATTCTAATAAGCTCATCTAACCACTCCATTTAAACCCCAGCTAAGCTAATGGTCTAACATGCAACACTATAAAAGATGGCTGATTCCATCAGTGGGGGAAACATGCAAAGGTAGTGCTGACGTGTAGACACCTGCAAAAGGTGCAAAAGCATTTTGGTCCTTTCTGCAAAGCATCTCTTGATTGCGACACACCGAGGGTAACACCATCATCATTCACAAGCAAAGCAAGACCCTCTTCTCATACAACACTCCCTGGTTCTCCTATTTTGAAATCTGTGGATTTATTAGGTTAGTGCTGCTAATTTATCAACTTTATTGGGAAGAAATCTTACATTTCACCATTGTGGTGGATGAAATGACAAGTCTGTACCTTCGAAGTTGTGATAGCTTCTCTCAGCTGAGTTAGCCAGAGTTAGGAGCTGATCTCTTTTGCAAACAATAAAGAGGCGTGGTCGCTTGCATTGTCTCCCAACAAAAATGGCTAATAAAACGAACAAAGAAACAACCGTCTACAACTTCTTTGGGAAATTTTAAGAAAGAGCAGGTATCACTGACACAGTAGGCAACCCAGCACTACATCAGTGCTCCCCAAAGACAGACATCAGAGGAAAGAAACTGGGATACACAAAACTGGACCCAGCATGAACCCCTTCACAAAAAACAACAGAACATTTGATTCCTATGGGCAGGGGTAGGCAGTGCTGGTTCTCAAAGGCCATTGTCCTGCAGCTTTTGCATGCATCCTTGCTCCAATACACCTAAAATAAAAGGCCAAATTAACTTCTTGGTGGCTTGTAAGTTTATCAGAGGGCTGGCCATTGACCATTCATTTGTTTTAGGTGTTTTGTTTAAGGGATGCATGTAGGACCTGCAGGACAGTGGCACTTTAGGACCGAGGTTGCCTACCCCTGTTGTAGGGTATCGTTTAAGTCAAAGTTGTACTTGTTCCTAACTTACTCAAAACAACCAAATATGCAGAATCACCTGTTAATCTCTGAGTCTTAGCATTGTGAGATCTAATACCTCAATCCAACACCTCATGGCTTTCAAAACTTTAACGGTTATATTTAAACAACTATCGTCTCAAACCCTTTGGAAAGGAAACGTAGTTCATATAGTGGCTTTTATTTGAAGTAAACATGAATAGGTTTCTCTTTTTTTATGAGTGTGTACACAGCAGCACGATCCAACTCATCTAAAACCCAACTTAAGGAGTGGCAGTATTCAAGCAGGTATATCTGCAACATAGGAGGTGTTTATTACATCTTTTGGTAAATTTATAGACCATGGGTTGACAATGTTGAAGGCATCTCCACATGGTGTAACAAATAGCCTATCTTGTTTTTATGCTGATGAAGTTTCTCTAACACAGGAGATGACTCATTTTATGTCCAAACAGGCTTCAGAAATAACAAATCCAGGAAGCTGTAGATTGGTGCTCTCTGATCAAAGGTCACAGATGCTTAAACAGGTGATCTTCATTGGGTGGGGCTATGAAGCTCGCCCCACCTTTCAGAGGTAAATCTGTCTTTTCCTCGTGGAGATTCTGTGGGTGTAAGTGTCTGCAGCCTAGGTCAGCCTGGGAAACATCTTTCCGAATTTTCATATCACAGCCAAGATGCCTAAGATGGTAGGACCTCTGTTGTTTTACATACATATTTCACTTCATGTCTTCTTCCTGGTTGTTAATAAAGGTATTACTTAGCTTATACATTCTGGTCATAATGTTCATTAAATAAGTTAGGATGAACTGTTTAAAAAAAAAAAAAAGATTGGTCATTTATTTATTTATGCTGATCGTTCTGTCTTTCAAGCAGAAAGTCTGATATGTACGAACAAGAGAATAATGATAAATGAGACCTAAGTTCAACTTAAAGATTCATGAATGAGTTCTCAAAGTAAATAATGATTGCATAAAATAATGATGCTATGGTTCCAGAGCTTCACTGCTAGGCTAAATGTAATAGAAATGCTCGATCAGGCTAAGGCAAAGGAAGCTGTAATGTGTCACAAGTCTAAATGTCTTCAGATAAAGGGGATCAGCTATTAAGTATGAAATAGGATGAGTATAGGAGTCAACTTTAATTAGAAACTGTATGCATAGACAAGGGAGTCAGTTTAGGTTTTTAATCTCGCATTGTATTTGTTCACTGCACATGTTTTATATTATTTTGTAGATAAATAAAACTTTAAAGGCAGGTTACTTTGTTCTTACCAACATAAATAAATATATATATATATATATATATATATATATATATATATATATATATATATATATATATATATATATATATATATATATATATATATATATATATATATATATATATATATATATATATATATATATATATATATATATATATATTTAGAAACTATATATATATATATATATATATATATATATATAGTTAGAAATGTTAGATAATTTATCTTATTGTAAGACTTTGTTTTACATGCTTGTTTCTAGATTAAAAAATCTCATGCTGCATAGACAGATTATTTAATTTTTAATTATCTTCTTGATTTTTCACCCCACCCTTTTCTGTAGAAAAGCCTTAATTTTGCCTTGAATGTGAGCTGTTCATTGGGGTAGTTTGAAGAAACTCCCTCTGTGTAGGTTTGTTTATGTCGTTAGTGCTCTATTGAGCTTCCCTAAAGCTAAGGGTCTGAACAGCTTCTGATATGAGTTCCTTTTTTTGGGGCTACTGACTGTAGAATAAACCTTAAAAATTTTCTCTTAGTCTATAATTCACTTAATGGCTTGGCAATAAAACACATTACATAATTTTCAGTGGATCAACCACCCAGACATTTTCAGTCTTCTGGATCATATCTGTTTTGCACCCAGAACCAGAAACAAAGAAAGACTTATTATTTATTTTTATTTTTTTTTTTACTTCTTATGCTCTATTAATCTGGAATAAACTCCCAGAAAACTGCAAAAAAAGTTGAAACCATTTATTCTTTTAAATCAAGGTTCAAAGCCTCATTGTCTAGAGTTTCCTGTTATTGCTCCATTTAAACTGTTAGCTGAGTTATTTTTGATTTTAGTCTGTGATCTAATTTTTCTTTAACTGATTTAATGTTGTTGCCATGTAGATTTGCTGGAATTTCCTTTTTCTTCTTTCACCAAGTTTTATTCATAAAAGCACATGTTACTGATTATGATATTTAAACTTGCCTTTCTTAATATAAAAAAAGAAAAAATATTAGTCACTTTGATTAACCCATCAAACAGTTCAAACGGTAAAATTGGTTAATTGCTTGTAAGCATTAATAATACAACTCTAGTTAAAAATAAATAACCAGGAAAATATTTAAGTTGGATATGAAGTACTAACTGAAAAGCTCAGAGTTTATTGTAAATACAATCTTCATAAACAGAATGCTTGACCTTTTTGTTGCTGCAGATTAACGTTTGCATCACTAGAATGGATGGAAAGGAAGAGATTGCCATTGAACCTAAGATTACAGGGGAGCAGCTGCTTTACAAGGTTTGAATGATTTTTGTGTACTCTTTTTGTTAAATTAAATATTCCCAATAAATACACCCACAGACTATAAGAGTGAATTTGCTTCTCAAATAATAATTTGCAACTAGAATTTTAAAATGTTAAATATATTGAAGCTGCACTTTTACTTGAGTCGGTTTTTAATATTGACTCAGTTACATCTAGAAATCTCATTTGTTACTGAGTAGAATTTTTATTAAGTAAAAATCCATCGGCTGGGTTAGAAATTGGATCCAAACATGGAGGAAGCATCTAGTGGCACATGCGGAAAAAAAACACCGGTTTCTGTTCTTATTATGCAGTGTAAACCTAGTTTGCATATAAAGATTGCACCTTCTTCATTTTAAAAGTTAACATTAAACTTACACAAACAGGTGGAGGAAAACAAAACATGTCTTAAAGTTAAGTGTAAAACTATGATCATCATCATTGAAATTAGAGTATAACTTGCAAACGTTTTAATTTATGCTATTACCAAAATCTAAGGCTATAAATAGCATTATTAGTGCTAACCAAGTGCACCCTAAATACTGTATGTCAAAGTCAATTGGCAGTTTTGTGTTATGATAATTGAACATTGAGTGTCAATGACCGTCCTGCCGTCCTTGAATGCTTTTGAGCTTTTTCAACTGCACTGGTCTGCTGTTTACAGCAACTCTAAAATTTGATAACCACTGCTGCTTAGATTTAAAAAGTATACATTTTGACACTATGGCCTTGTGTACATGCAAATTACAATATTTGACCAACAATTGTAAATAATGTTAGTTTTGTATGTGTGAGTCTAATTCATACAGGCTGAAGCTAAAAACAGAGATCAGGTATTTAGTTTGGAATTTGTTGTTTAAAACTAAAACTAATGTCTGATTGGTATTTGCTGTTTGTCAAAAAATGCAACTTATTAATTATTGAAAGCTCATCAAGGTAAGTGATGATGTCATAATGATGTTGTGTTAGGGTTAAGAAATTATTATTTATGTTAAACTATACATAAAAAAACATTTCAGACCTCAGACTGATGACTTTTGTTGTGCGTACTTAAATCTTGTCACATTAAGATAAGCGAGCACATGTATTTACATTAAGTGCAGCATCTGCAGTTAAATAAAAACATGTTCTGTAATAATGCAAGAGAAAAAAGGTGTAGTAGAGATAATTTTTCAATGTTAACCTTTTTGCTATTTGATGTATTTGACACCACCATTCAAATGCTTACCTGATATGTTGCAAATCATTATGACTACTTTATTGTAAAGGATTAAACTAAATAGTTTCTTTTTGACTAACTGAGCGTTAACTTTATTGCTAAGAAATCCCTCCCACTTACTTTCCATCATGTCAACCTTTTAACTTCCTTTTTGGGGAGTGCTTGTTATAACGTCTTCACGCTTTTCTCTCTGTATGTATTTATATCTCAGGCCGCCAAGACAATCGACCTGCGTGAGATCTGGTTCTTTGGACTTCAGTTTATTCATAGAAAAGGATCCACAAGGTGGCTAGGGCTTAAAAAGAAGGTGAGATTGTTTTTTTTTTCATGTATTGGTTAATAAATATATGTTTTATTAGTCTCTTAACACAAATATTAACCATAGATATTTAGAATCTTATTTAAACTGCATAATTGTATTTCTCCATATAGGCTGCAGTAATACTTTCACATTTTAAAATGTACTAAAATGAGGATTCTAACTAGAATTCTTCTTTTGATAATATTATTAAGAGAAGCAAACAGTTGGAGAGAAAATAAATACTTCCTTACGTTGGCACCAAAGTTGTAAAGCTTGACCAATGTTTACCCTTGTTTTGTTTCTTTTTTTTGTGTTTTTATTAAATTTAGGAAAAAAATATCTAACAGGGGGAAATCCTTTTGAAAGTAAAATAAGGAGTTACAGGTGTAAAATATACATTAAAACCCTTAAAAACACAACTTCAGAACAGACTTTTAACTCAGACCATCAGTACAGCTCCCATTCCAGGCGTGGCGGAGCCCATCGCAAACGCACCTAAGATCACCAAAAGAGGTGTCAAGTAACAAAGTACAAATACTTCGTTACTGTACTTAAGTACACTTTTTAGGCATCTATACTTTACTCCATTACTTATTTTTCTTCCTACTTCTGACTTCTACTTATTACATTTTAACACAAGTATCTGTACTTTCTATTCCTTACATTTTTTAAACTAAATGTTAATTGTTACTCTTGGCTTCGGTTTTATGTTTATAAATATTTATTTCACGTCATGTGCGCCATTTAATGCAGATCATTGGCGCCATCCACATCTAGTGAAAACTAGCGTAATTGGATGAGTCATATAACGCAAACCCTCATTGGTTAGCTATTCGTAAAATGTGTGCTAATTTGTGCCAGCAAAGGAAATCATCAGAAGCAAGCAGGTGTTCTTCAAACTGCAAACATGAATTGTCTATGCCATGCTACAATGTCGGATTCAGAAAAAGATGTGGAAATGTCTGAAAGGTCGGACACATTATATCGGGAGATGGAGACTCAGACAACAAGACCTCCCTCATCCTTGGTCCTATCTCAAAGAATTTTTTCAAAATAGTTGAAAAATTGAGCTTTCAATTCATATTGTGGCATCTGATTGTTTTTTTTTAGGTAACTTTATACTTTTATACTTTAAGTAGTTTTTGGAGCACATACTTTTTCACTTTTACTTGAGTAAAGAGGTCAAGTTGATACTTCAACTTTTACCAGAGTGTTTTTAAACTGCAGTATCTATACTTCTACTTAAGTAACTAATGTGTGTACTTTTGACACCACTGATCACCATCCATCCATCCATATTCATTTTCTAGCACGCCTATCCCAAGTGGGGTCCACTGATCACCAATCAGCTGTCATTTCTGTTGAGACTGGCCAATAGGCACAGGCCCCATGAAATATTTCTCACATAAGGAGAACAATACTGAATCGAGAGAAAAGACTTAGGTTTTAAGAGCGAGAAAAAGTTTTGAGAGAAAAATCTAATATTGAGAGAAAAGGTGTTAACTCTGATTGCAAAAAAAAAAGGAATATTTAAGCATAAAAAATTTTTTTTGAAAAAGCTTTTTCCCTTGGAAATAATTTTCCATATGTCAGTTTATCCTTATGTATTCTATGACAAAATATTTTCTCTCAAAATAATATAACTTGATTTTGAAATAATATATTGAATTTAAATATATCGATTTTACTTAAATTATTTCGCCTTTCAGATCCCTTTTTTTCTTGAATTTCATAAAGAGAAAATAACTCCATAATTGTATCTAAGGAATGTTACGCAAAGAATGACTATGACTTTTAAAGTTACTTATTGACCAAAAATCTGCACTGCTATGAATCTTGTTTCCTGCTGAGCCATGGTGAATCATGATTCTGCATCCAGCAATTAACTCTTGTGATAAGCCCATGCTTACACTCTACTCTAGATTAATTTTAAAGATTAACTAAACCCCAAACCAACTTTTTTCTTCCCAGATAAACTTAATGAAATGAGTTGCCCTCCATAAGTTGAAGTGTAGATAATGCAGTATCATTTTCGTATTGCTTTCAGACATTATAGCTTGGTTCAAAAGTGTGTCACAGTCCTGTGCTTATGTATACTGGTCTGATTTTACAGCGAGATAACAGACCCCTCAATCATCTCACAAAAACATTTCAAGGTAAAAATGTTACTTAGTGCTGCTTTAAGTCTATTTTTCTGGAACGTGGATGTACCAAGCAATGCTATTGCTCTTCTGGATGTATTATCAATGATAATCCCTGTTTTTTTTTTTTTCAGTTCAATTCATTCAGAAAAATAAATTAAAAGTCTCTATCTTACTAAGCCAAGCTGATTACGTCATTTACTTTAAAGGAATCGCTCCTCCTGGATGAGAAAGTAGTAAAGCTGAGCCCATTGCTCGTTTAGGAGAGAAACAGAACTACTGAATACTGACTGAAATTTAGAATAGAATAGAATAGAATAGATTTACTTTATTTATCCCAAGCTGGGAAATTGTAGTGAAGCAGCAGCTTTACACATAGTGACAGTCACAACACAATAAGATAAAGAAAAGAAAGAAGAAAGAAAAAGTAGTTTGTCCAGTTTGTCAATATGTGTTTAGGCTGTTTTGTTTTTTAAATTATTTCCTAGTTTGCCATTGTACACTTAATATTGAATCTGTTTTTTAATCTTCTGCAGGTAATCTCTCAAGATGTAAAGAAAGAGAGCCCCCTGCAATTTAAACTCAGAGTTCGGTTTTATCCACTGGATACAGAAAAGGAGCTGATCCAAAACATCACCAGGAAGCTTTTCTTCCTGCAGGTGAAGGAGGACATTCTCTCAGGAAATATCTGCTGCCCTCCAGATATTGCAGAGCTCTTGACCTCCTGTGCAGAAATGTATGAGCAGCACAACAAGTGAGGACATTCACAGATTTACTCAGTCTTGTTAATGCAATGTAACATCACCAATAATTAATTAGCAATTTTTCTTAAGGATAAAAAGTGTCATTATCCTGACATTTACATTTTAGAAGAAGAAGACAAATTATTCTTAATGACCATCTTTTTTTATCTAAAACAGAGAAGAGGCTGTGATCGAGTATCTAAAAATCGCACAAGGTCTGGAGATGTTTGGTGTTACTTACTTTGAGATTAAGGACAAGGCTGGCAGAGAGCTTTGGCTGGGAGTGGATCTACAAGGTATTAAAGTCTATCCAAAAGAAAACAGGTAAAACCTTTAGCTTGCTTACGGTGCATACTAGTGTGTAAGCTTTTTATTGTACCACTCAATGCACATATTAACAGTCGTTTGACGATTCTTAACATACTGTGTTGACATGCAACAAAGTTTTCCAGTAAGCATATGGATGTATTCAAACTTTAGTCACTCATTCTCAAATTGCATTTTTTTGTTGTTGCTATGGTGTGTATTTGATCAGTCATCTTAAAAAATGTGTTCTTTTAGGGTCACCCCTACAACTCGATTACGATGGAATGACATGAGAAACCTAAGTTACTCTAACAAGGAGTTTAACATCAAGCTCACGGACGAGAAATTTCCTGTAAGTGCATAACTGGTCCATTAAATGTACTTATGTAGTGCTTTATCAACTCAGAGGACCTTGATGCTCTTAACCATTTATTCAGGCATTCACACAGATAGTGCTTAACTACATTGTAGCCATAGATGCCCTGGGGCACACTGAAAGAAGTGAGGCTGCCATACAGTTAGCTGGCTTGGAGCTGGTCTGCCAGGCTGTTTCCTGGACTGAGCCTGGTTCTACTGGAGGATTCTTCTTGTTAAAAGGGAGTTTTTCCTCTCCACTGTCGCTACAAGTATGCTTAGTGTGAGTCAATGAGTCGATGCAATCAACTGGTTTTCCTTAGATAAAAAACTTTCTATCAATTTCACTGTATGATCTGTTGAACTGTAAAGTGCCTTGAGATGACGTGTTGTGAATTGGCACTATATAAATAAACTGAATTGAATCAAATTAATTCCTAGGCCACTGTTGATGTAATATAAAGCGTGACAATAAATACTGCGCCAATGATGTATTAAGTGGTAACAGATAAGAAGGGTCTTCAGATCTCTTTGTAGGTTATGTTTTTGTCCATGTCTTTGTTTATTGATGCTTTCATCATTACACCTCTTTTTATTTTGTTCTATTTTGCAGGATTTGAAATATACCCTACAGTACAGCCATGTAACCAAGAGCCTCCTAAACCTCTGTTTGGGAAACCACTCCTTGTGCATCCGTCACGAAACTAAGAGTGTGGATGTCCAGCAGCTCAGGGCTCAGGCAAGAGAACAGAGTCCATGGAAGAAACAAGCAAAGTCGGCGCTAAACTAATCTCACATTGAATCGGTTTCGAAAGACTAATTAGGTCATTAATTTTTATAAAGTTTTGCTCTCCTTACTCTTGGTCACAGGGATAAATGTAGAATTCAGAATTTAATTAAATAATCAAAGGGCCTGATCTGCAAAAGGTTGATGTGAAAACAAATGTGCAAACTGGATTGGATGTAAAAAGCTGATCTACTGGAAAGGTGTAAATCCAGTGACCTGAGTAAAATTAGCATCACAGTGGGCTCAACCTGTCTGCAAAAAGGATTGCAGTGAGACCTGGTGGTGAGCTGGGTATGATGGAAGGGGAGGACATTGCAGACCTAAGCGAGTAGTGAGGGTCTGCTGGGAACATCATGTTGCGCTCTTGGCCATGGATGTGTTCCACTGATGTACTGTTGAAGATGTGTGGTCTATAGGAGTACGGAGTCAGAAGCCATATACTAGGGGCTATCCAGTTTCTGTAAGTGGAGCAGGGGTTCAGTCTACATTACCGGCATTAAGTCTTGTTTCCGGTGCTGAACTGCCCTTTGTCACGGTCTTCATCTAACCTTTATGGACAGGATTTCTAGGTGCAGCCAAGGGCCATAGGAGGTCTGCTTTGGGGACCAGCTGATTTTGTCCCTTCTTTTGCTGAGAATGTGGTTCTGCTGACTCCCTCCTGCCAAGACCTATGGCATGCACTGGGTGGTTCACAGTTGAGTGTGAAAAGGCTGGGATGAGAATGAACTCCTCCAAGTCTGAGGCCATGGTTCTCGACGGGAAAAAGGTGACTTGTCACCTTCAGGTTGGAGAGTTCCTGCCTCAAGGGGAGGAGTTAAAGTATCTTAGGGCCATGTTCACAGGAGAGGGAAGAATACAGCAGGGGATCGATAGACTGATCTGTGCTGCGGTTGCCACCCCCACGACCCGGTCCCCGGAAAAAGCGGATAAAGAGGAAGACAACGTGACATGGAAAGACATGGAAACAGCTCACTGGACAATTTAATCTTTTTAAAAGTGCAGCCTTGAAAAATAGTAGAATTTACTCTAAATTTACAGTTTCAACTTTTTGTTTTTGTTTTGCTATCTGAGATTTATTAACCCAATCAAGCTGTGAGACAGATTTTAGTCAATGTATGTTTTCTTGATTTTGTGGTCCTTACTGTAATTTGGCTGGGACATGGAACATTAAACTAAACCAAAACATGTTCAGTTTTATGCAAACACATTTACGATATTAAATTCTATTCAAATCATTATTGACTAGAATTAAGTGAGGCAGTTATTTATTTTTAATTTTTACAGAGGACCAGGTTCATATGAATATCTTTTATCCCCCTCATGATGTAAATCATTTTAAAAAATGCTTTTTGTGACAGTTTTTTTTATCTTGGCGAAAGATTTACTTGATTATCTGAACAATTTGGACATGAGAAATAAGGATGTAATTTATCGTAACATATCCCGATAGATTAACAAATACGATATATTGTGTTTTTTAAATAATAATATAGCTCTAGAGAATCTAACAGGATCTTGTGGTCCTCGGTTAAGGCAGGTGCAAAGCAACTGAATAATAGGCTCTTGGGTGATGTGTTGCCAACTAGTGGATGGAGGTTTGGTAGTATTCCAAAAATAACACAATGAAATAGATGTTTGCCAAATTTTTTTTATGTTTAAGATCTATTTGGCTGTATATTAAATCAAACTAAAAAAACATGGTGATATGTTTTAAATTGGAGCACATATTATCTAATCAAAAAGATATATTGACAGGATACGTTTTTTCTTACATAGAAAATGTACCTTTCTATACATATTTACATTACAGGTTTTTGTTTTTTACTATTATGAAACGTATTTACTGTATTGAGGAAGACATAGAAATACAGTCTAAAGCATGCATATCTAGGCTTTAGTCTAATCTTTGATAAACAAAGTTGTGACATATTCTGCATGTCTGCAAGACTGTGATTGTAACTAAACTCTTAAAACCTGCTGCTGTCTCTGTCACCTGGAAACTGTTTACTTTTCATAGAATCTCAATAAAAAACTGTTAACTTTCTTTTTGTCTCATTTGAGTTTTACAGCAAAAAAAACTTCAAAGATAACAAAATACAGTTGGTTTGCAATCCAGCAAAACAAAAAAAGAAGTAGACTTATGGAATTCTTAGAAATAAAATTTAAAATACATAAGTTGCCTCTAAGAAACAAAACAACACTTAGTAACCATTTAGGGTTTCACAATCTAATCAAATTGAAAAGGAAAGAAGATAAATTAACTTTTAACAGACATGTTTTAGTATTTTAAGAGAGTCCCAGTAAAAGCTCGACATTAACTATGTCATTTAGATCTTAGAACATCCAGATGGAATCCCCTTGAAGGTGTAAATGCGGCAAGAAGTTTACAAAATAAAATGGATCAACTCCTGCCCTTGAGGTATGAAATTAGGTAAAGTTATTCCTTTTTAAAATCTGGGACAACACCAACACAGTGAAAGCTGAATTGGTTCAAATCAAATCATCAACAGCATTAGTGAGATTCTTAAAGCATTTAGATTTCAACTAATAAGCAGAAGTTGGCAATAAGAGTATTTCTTGATATAAAAAATGTTTGACTCAGTAAAAACTTGTTTTATTGATAAATAAACAGGAAAGATATATGAGACCTGATTATATCTCAGTGTTATTTTCTATCAGGTATCACTCTAAGCCTGGATCAGCTGGAGGTTTATTCCTGTGAAAAGGAAGTTTTTCCTCCCCACTGTTGTTGCATGCATGCACAGTGTGAGGGATTGCTGTCGAGTCAACAACAAAATGCAAGCAAAAGTCATCCCTACAATCTCATTAAGGTGAGCGTGTCTTGCAAGTCAGTGACACAATGCAATTTTTCTGGGTAGAAACACTGAATAACTCTTCACTGTATGATCTGACTGAATTCTCTCTTAAAAGTGCCTTTAGATGATGTGTAGTTTATTGGGACTATACAGTATATATCAATTGAATTGAATCATGTTATCTAGAAAACAGATCTTAAGTTAGAACCCCCACAAGTACATTAGTAGTTACTGTAAATATAGCTTTTTCAAAAACATTTGGTCAATAGAAGGTGAAACTGTAAAATCTCTTTAAGAAATATTTATTAAAGTTTTGTAATTTTTTTCTAACTCAGAAAAGGACAATCATAGTCAATATGAAGCTAATATCCGAAGGACTAGGAATTGTTTGAAGTGATGTAATCGCTGGAAAAGGGTGGGGTTATATTTAGTCTGGACTTCTTCCCTACCAGTTTGAACCAATAAATATTTGTAGTTTTTTTCCCCCCTTCTATTATTATTTTCTTTGTCTGTGTTACTGTATATTTTTCTTTTATGGGTTTCATTTTCCCTTTGTTATATGTTCAGTAAATTCAAAATCCAATTAAGTCCAATGTTTTAATTCAGAATAAAAGTTGCTCATGCTCCCAGCTTGATACCAAAAATATTCAATCCATCTTATAAAAGACGGCATATATGTAGAAACGTATTTAGATAAACAAGTTTGAAGAATCTTCTGTCACATTTATGAGGAATTTCTAAACCTCTCAGTTTTTTAAAACTCTTCATTTCTCAAACTCTCTACATAAGGAAATGTGGATTGATATCTGGTTGTAGTTAAGAAGAACGGTTAGGACAATTTTTCTCTTTCTCACGAGCTCTCATTTAATCTCTCCCTACCATTTTCAATTCCTGTATATTCCGTCTTCTCTTGAAAACATTTTCCCTTGCCTCCCACCGATTCTGCTGAATTTCCCCATTGGAAAACATTAAAAGAATATTCTACTCTATTCTGAAACAGACTTGACCAGCTAATACCTATTTCCAATTTAGAAAGAATACACTGATATGGTTTCTTTTATTGCAACCCATGACTTATCATCTCCAAATAGGCTACAGAAATAGCACATCCAGGGCTAAGTAGCCTTGCGCTCTCTGATCAAAGGTCACAGGAGGTTTGCCTGCTGAAACAGGTGATTGTCTTTGGGTGGAGTTGTGTGGCTGTCCTTCCTTTTACTCACACCGGAGATAAATCTGTTAGTTTGTTGCGATACTGATGAGGTTGGTCCTCCCATATCCCTGTCAGCTATCTCCTTCTGAGTTCAAAAGGACACAAGTCCTGCCCCTGAGCTTGCTAACGAGAGCAGAGAGGAAGTCTTTATCAGGTGGAAGTTTTGCTGGGAGTCGGCCACTGCAGCCTCGGTCAGCCTGGGAAACACTTTCCTCTGTTAGAAGCTCGTCTAAAGACCACCGCCAAGATGCCCAAAATGGTAGGATTTCTTCTTTTTTTTTATTTAATAACTGCCTGTGTTATTTTGATATGGTGGGATCTATAAATTCCATACTGTTTCAGTAAATCATATATGAAAAGCAATTTAGGGACAAAATTCATAAAATTACATACTGTTGAGTCTTTATCTGTCAGTCAGTCGTAGCCTGATTTATTTACGCTGCTAATATTTTTCTTTTTTTTGTAAGTTCTTTTTTTTCTAAGAGGCAGCGATCCTTCTAGTCATTTACTCATTAACTGAAAGTAGAGTTTGACCTATGCTGGACACATTCTCAACAGCAAATTAACACCAAAGTCCTACTTCTTGTTGCACCTGGCAGGTTCAAAGAGACTCTGTGTGGCATGTGTTATTATGATCACTGTAGATGTGTCACTTCTACTTAAATAATTTGTCAAAGTCAAGAAAGATAATCACCAGCAAATTATTACAACTTCAATGTTTAGCTCAAATTGTCTAAATGTGTCAGAGAAGGTCAATATGCTAAAAGGAATTTCCTACATTTCTTAAATGTCTTCAGTGAAAAGTTATTGAAGTGTTCAGTGTGAAGCTGACAAGACTGGCCTTTACAACAGTAAGCATAATTGGCTCTACAAGGAGGCGGTCTTTATGAAGACTTTATGCTGACATGTTTGACCCACATCACGCCAACTGGAGAGATGTAGCACTGTAACTGACGCTGCGTATTGATGGCGTTGATATGAGAAAAGCTGAAAAACATGTTTTATTACTTGGAATCTGGCTTGTGCTTAAGCATATCATCATAAACGGGGGTTCCCATTTAGTAAAAACCAAGTGAATGGTAGGAATTACAGCCATTTAAGCAGAGTTGAAAACAACAACCAATTGTTTTGGAACTTTTTATGTGCTATAATTTGAAACCTAACAAAATACCAATTAAAATTGGATTAGTTCCCTGTTTTTTTTTTTCTTTGTTTCTTTTTGGAAGTAGACCTACCAGTTAACTTTTTGAGTGTCTGGGATTTTGAATTGCAGAAGTATTTTTAATCATATAATGTTTATAAAAATGTCTTTAAATGTAAGTTTATTTTCAAGAGCAATTTCACATACGCTTTCACATAGATGTATTGTTAGCAACATTAGCAGTTAGCCATGGTGTCTTTTCCATACTTTCCCAGTCTCCTAAATGACAGGTCCCGATAGAGTGGATTCTTTGCTGCTATCATAATCCTCATCACCATGCAGGGGACCAAAAATAATCTCACCTGGTCAGCCAGGCCAACAATGCCCCTAATGACTCCCCCCCTTTCAGAGGCATAGACCAGTATTGGGTATTGCAGGCTAACAAAGACCTCAATGACTCCTTGTTACTGAGGGGTGGACCTTTTCTCGTGGTTCAATTTGGATGTTTTCTAAGCAATTAGCATGTTTTCTAACAAACAAGGCTAATTTGGGCAAATCTATAAAGCTTGGATCTCAACGCTAATTCTGACATTTTGAATTGAGAAATCTTACTGGATGGGAAGCGAAACGTCTTTACATTTGAAAAAAAAAAGTCCAGTGGATTGCTTATTGACTTTTTAAGTCTATAGGTGAGTCTTGGTAAAACAGAGACAGGTTTTATGTTACTAAGGCGGGGCAAATGTAAGCACTAACCCACGAATGACATTAAAAACAAGGCAGACCTAAATCTAGCTTTTTACTCTGGATTTTCCAGCAAGTTTTAACTGAAGCTCAACACAAACACAAGTTAACATAAACGGTCCAATTTCCAAGTGATGCCTTTCATTAGATGTCAACAAGGTATAATTAATTTTTGACATACCATTTTATCTTTGTAAGATCCTCTCATTGAGTCAAACAAACGTAACAATTAGTTAGTTCTTTTGTAGTGAGACCAACAGCTACAGATCTTATTCACCGATTGAACGTTTATCCCTCTCAAGGTGTTTTGCAGGTTTCAACATCAGTTTACGCTGTTACATGCATGAGTTTTGTTGTTGGCTAAAAGAAAATAAAAAAAGGTTAATAACCAGCATAAATAATGTAAATGTGTTTCACATGTATCTAAAACAAATACAAATGTTCATATTTCACATATGGAGATTATATCGTGTAGTAACATAGGAAAACCTGTTACATTTTTATGTGTTGAAACTGCGTTGCATTGTAACATATCAAACATTTCACATAACAATCTAGTGTAATGCACCAGAGCGTGGTTAATATTCAATTTAATTCTGTTTGAATTTAGTTCACTTATATAGGGCCAATCCGCAATACATGTCATCTCAAGGCCCTTTAAAAAAACAGTTCAATCGAGCTCAAAATTGCCATGTAGAAATTGTAGCAACATGTGTTTCACACAAATAAAAAAATACACAGAAACCAGAGGATTTTCCCGCAATTTCACGTTAGTTTAACATATTTTGTTTCCCCTTGTGAAAATCACATCTGGTATAAAAACAGCAGCAAAATATTGCGCATATTGAAAATTTGTTGCAGGTTTTACCCTTTGATATCTGTTGTTGCTAATAAGCAACAAACACCTTGTATTACACTGCAAAAAATATAAATCTAGGTAAGTCAATTTTTCTTGAAATAAGAGCATTTTTTTCTTGAATTGAGCAGGTAAGAGAGACACTTTGACATTGGAAGAAGACAATTTACATTTGAAATAAGAAACAAAACAACAACTGCAGTCTCTTATTTCAAGTGCATAATATCTAATTATCTTATTTTAAGAGTAAAAATGCTCATTCCATTGGCAGATTATCTTACTTTTCTACTCATATTAAAGGTAAATACACTTATTTTAAAACATTTGAACTCATTTTTAGAACATTTTTGCAGTGTAGGCAAACAGCCATCATAGCGCTTTTTGCATCACCCTAGTGCTAGTCACAGTGTATGTTATTATGTAGTCATAATTGCTGTTACAAAATATACTTTACCTTCATTTCTATTTATTTTGTATGCACACATGCACAAAATGTCCTTTCAATATGTACATGTATATAAATTCAGGCTTCAAGGGGTTAATTAACATGTTAAAATTACATAATGAATACAAATTAAGATAAATGTCCACATTTCAATAGTTTTTGCTCTTATGACACACATTTTCAATATGTATTTTTTACCTGCGCTTTTTGACGTCAAATGCGGACATAAACACATACGATAGAGACAACGTTTAAAGACTTTTTTTTTCCATATAAGGTTTGTGTGGTTGCACTTGCTACATTTTTTTTAAAGCCCGAGCCACCCTTGGCTAGAGTGATAAATGCATCAGGAATACACCAGATAAAAATTTATCTCCTCCAGGTGATCATGTAAGGTGGAAACAGCGTAAAAGCCCGGTGATGGTTTCATAATTAGATGTTCCATTTGTTCCTGCCCAACATTTAGTATGTTTATCTTTATGACAGCCAGGGCGTGCTCTGGTTCAACTTCATAAAACGGTTCTATATCTGCTACAGGCCCAAGCCAAATCTATAAATGTGTTTTATTTTAACCGAAAGAATAGAAATAATATATATATTTTTTTATTTTTTACTGGTTGAGTGCAAGTTATAATTGAAATCAGAGGTTTTGTTATTTCCTCCAACAACTGATTTCAGTGCCTTCCTGCAGGCAGTAGGTGTTCGGCTGTTTCAGTCCTCGTAAGTGCAACCTTGTGTTCAAATGGCTGGTCTAAAGTCTAATGAGATAGTGAGCAATTATGGTTTATGAATAATCCATTTAACAGGTCCATATTAAGGGTGTGCTTCAGACAAATCAGTCCGCTATTTATGTTTTCCAGCATATCCGAAAGCAGCCAAACTGACAGTTATGTCAACTCAGATATATACTTGACACAAGCAAGTAGTTAAAACATGAAACAATGATTGGGAAGACAATAAGACTGATAGGAAAATGTCTCCATAAATGTAACCATTGAATTGGTTTCTTTTCTGCAGGTGAATGTTCGCGTGACTACAATGGATGCAGAGCTGGAGTTTTCCATTAACCAAAACACCAAAGGAAGGCAGCTGTTTGAGCAGGTCTGGATGTTCAAGTTCACAAAGCAAATAACATTTTAATGGCGGTTTAAGACCACGGTGGATCCAGTTTTTTTCTCATTGGGGTGAAAGAACAAAAGCATGGAAAAAAGAAAATAGAAACAAAATATAGCAATAGCTTATTATTTATAAGTGAGACACAGAACCAAAGAGCCACTACTATGCACTACCCAGATATAGTGGATCAAAACCGTCATCCTATCTCAATACGGCTGAAGATGAAAGTGCAACACCTTAGCTTCTAAATTGTTGTAAAGATAAAAATGTAAAGATAAAAAATGACAGAGATCCTAGAGACAAATCAGTTATCTTTTCTGTACCACCTCAGATCATCTTCAGAAATGAATTTATTGCAATGCCTTTATTGTAGGGGTCATGACAGGTGTCAGAAACAGTTTCACAGGGGCTCTGGCCTCTGACGGCCCCTGCCTAGAGCCAGCTATAGTTTGGACTAAAATATCAGTTTTACATTTGCATAGTATCTTTACTTGGAAATGCAACTTACTACTAACTTAGTCAGTGACAACGAAATAGAGTTAAAAAAGGCTTGAGATGTTTTTTGTACTGGCAGCTTCATGCTGTCGGACATAAATAAATACAAATTAGGAGACTATGATTTGCAAAATACAGGGAGATACTTGCAGAAAATTGCTGAAAACCATTAAACATTTTCAATCTATGCACAAATTTAGCTGTGCTTTGTGCTGTTCTACCCCCCAAAAAGCCTTATAAGCCTCCATGACAGTTTTAGGTTGTAACATAACAAAATGTGAAATGTTTTAAGAGGAGTGAATATTTCTGCAAAGCTTTGTGCATTTTGTCTAATAGGCATACTAAAATATAAATCTGCTCCCAAGGAAAAAAAAAATAGAAACTTTGTCACTAAAACTGCCATGTTTCAGTTTAAAGTACTTGTTTTACAAACAGTTAAAGCAAAAAAAAAAAAAAAAAAAAAAAAAAAAAAAAACTAAATCTTTCTGTTTTTCGAGGAAGAAAGACATGAAGATTTTTACTCTTTTCCTTTTGTCACCAGGTTGCCAAGACGATTGGCCTGCGTGAGCTTTGGTATTTTGGACTTCAGTTTGTGGACAACAGAGGAATTGTCACGTGGCTGAATCCTGACAAGAAAGTGGGTTTACAATGTCAGATTTTTTTGTCCTAGAGTATTGATCTGATGGAGTTTTCTTTTTTTCACTTGTTCCACTTTTATTTACTTTGAATAAAAGAAGCCTTGTCACTTAAAAAAAAACATGTGATGGGTACATCAATGCTATTTATTAAATCTTTACTCTTATTTTATAACCCTGTTCAAAAACAAACAACATTTCAATAAAAGTTGTCTAAGATCTAAGACACAAAATATTATTAGAAATTGGGAAGATAATCTGTGTTCTTTTGTGCATAAAATATTTTACTGGATACTTTTCACAATAATTCATCCCCATTATCAGAGTGAGATAACTCAGCTGCCTTATGCAGTGCTTGGGTAATACTAGTAATAAGAGTAGCGTGAAGCAATAAATTTCACAGCTGATTTCACAATACGTTTAAAACAGAAAGTCTGACTCAGCAAAAAAATAAAACAAAAAATGTATATGTATATGCAATTTTCTTTTAACCAAGTTTAATCAATAAGGGTAGTATAAACATTGAAACTTCCTTAAAGCGGTGGCCTTTCTATGCTATTTAAAGGGGAACACAAAGGTGACAAAGAGAAGAAAAACACCTAAAGTGTTGAGACAAAAATTATTCCATAGACCATAATGGCAAACATGTCAAACTTTTAACACCTCTGGTTTCCAATATAAAGTTAGGCTGTTATACTGCAAATAGGTTTAAATCTCTATTTATTGTTTAATCTTATACCATTACAATCATCATGACATTTTCCTAACTGCATGAATATAAGTTGAGAACTTCAATGTGTTTCCTTTACCAAATAATAGTGAATTCTTTGTCTTTAGCCAGAAGTATATTCACTGATACCTACTGCTTAATATATAAATATACATTTTAAAGCACACTTTTCATTATCTGTGCAGGTGATGCTTCAGGAAGTAAAAAATGAGACTCCCCTGCTGTTCAAGCTCAGAGTCAAGTTTTATCCCGAGGATGTGGCAGAGGAGCTGATCCAGGACATCACCAGGAAGCTTTTCTTCCTGCAGGTGAAGGAGGACATCCTGACGGATGAGATCTACTGTCCTCCGGAGACCGCCGTGCTTCTGGCTTCCTACGCCGTCCAGGCAAAGTACGGGGAGTACATGAAGTCAGTGCACAAGCGGGGATACCTCTCCTCTGACCGTCTGCTCCCTAAAAGGTGAGATCATGTTGCGGGAAATCCTACGAGTCTATTCATAGCTTCCCAGCTGAAAAGACAAGTTTATGTTGGTTAAAGGTCTGTCATCCTTGTTGTAGCAATTGAATGCAACTTTAAATCTAAAACAATGTGTTGATTAACCCTTTATAGCCTAAAACATTAACTAACTGTCAGAAAATTCAAGTTCTTAAAAATTTCAGTTGTCATTGAACAAATTTGATAAGTAATTTGCCATTTGTCATAGTTCAGGCTTTTCCCTGCAATTTATTATAGATTTTCTGTGAATTAGATATATCAGATCATTCAAACGTAAAAATATCACACTGATGATGATGTAGTGGTCTTTAAAGCTTGATGTAAAAAATTGAAAATTCTGATATTTAAATTTCATATAATTCAAGAAATTTTTTTTTAGATGAAATAACAGAAAGAAATATTAAGAGTTCTTGGATTTCTATCTTAAAGAAACTATAATGTTTTTTTTTTTTTTTTTTTTTATCATTTTTGTGTATAAGATAAGTAATTCATGACACATTTTCTTTTTAAAACCACCAACAGTATTTGAAAAATACTGAAGGGAAACTATTAGCTGCAGTTCCCCTACTAAATAATTATAATTATATACTGATTTTCATCTTTGTTGATCCAGAGGAGTATTTAGCAAAGTAAAGGAAAGAAAAAAGAAGAAAGTATTTATGTCAAATAAAGTCTGAAATAGCACCATTGGACCCCTACTGTAGGTGTTTGGTTACTTTAAGATCACGTTCATCATTGGGCTGTGAAACACCCGTGTAAAAAGATAAAATAAAATTTATCCTAACGTGTTTATTGCTTTATGCCGTTGCACTAGTAATAATCTATAAAGGCTATCCATCTCAAGGTCTCTTTTTTCAATTAGCTTGACTTACTGCTTGTGAGCAGTTTTTTTTTTATATATAGAACACTTATTTTGTTCTTGCGATATTTTAATTATTTAAATTATTATTTTGCTGTGTTTCATCTTCATTTTTTACATTGCAGCTTTTTCAGTAAAACCGACTTGAGTTTTTGTAAGTCATGGCGTATATCATGTACATCATGCCTATAAGGTTAAATGTATACAAAATTAATTAACATAAGAAACAATAAAAATTAGTGAAAATCTAACTTTCCTCTTCGTGAAAAGTTTAAGCAAAGTTAAAACATAAATACATGCAAAATAGAATACAGTCTAATATGTATGTTCGTATCGATGCTGTAGATAAAAAAAAGAAGAAAGGGTGGAGAACATAATGTGTAATGTTTTTGAAACATGTATCTTAAACGCAGAGTTTTCATTTTTATTAATATGTTTGTTTGTTTTTTTGCTATTTAGTTATTAATTTATTTTTGCAACTTTCTTTAAAACCAATACATGAAATGCTTATGGTTCTCTTATGCCTTGAAAATCATTCAAATACCTCTTATTTTTCAAAGTTACACAAATACCAGTATATAAATACCAGCACAAAGCGTATTTGGTAAAAAATGTTTTTATAACATGCTTCCAAAAAATTTGTTATAAAGTGAGATGCACATGTGAATGTGGCCTTCTTTATAGAGGCGGATCACTCCCACAGCATGATGCTGCCACCAGCATGCCTCAAAATGGGGATGGGGAGTTCTCCATCTTATGCAGTCTTTTCATGGTCACCCAAAAGTTCTTTTTTTTCCCCTAAATGTATACAGACAAAGAGCCAGTGGATGTTCTTATAGGGGTAGCTCCTCCTAAGTTATCAAGAGCCTCGTTGCTCTTTTATTTTTTTGATTAATGCTCTCTGGATTGATGCTGGATTAAACACACAGGTGAATTTTGCAAAGTTAACTCAAAATGTGAGATCTGTTAACTCATTTCCACTGTATATCACCAACAGTGTTTATAATTCAGAATGAAAGTAACTTGAATTACTAGTATTTACTTCATGTCTTACTTTCCTTGCAGAGTTTGTGTCTTCTTGGTGATAAACATGGAACAGGGACATTTAATGAAGGGAACTTTATTGAAAGTGGATGTTTATTTTTTGAGAAAATCTATATTTTTTCTTCCCATATGCTGCAAAATTAGACCAGGTAAACATCAGTTGCAGTTTCTAATTCAAGACGTAACAGAAAAGAAAGAGCCTTCAGTGCATACAGCATGTGTTTAAATTAGCTCTGTATGTAGACACGGAGTGATCCCGCTTTGAGCCGTGTGGCTTTCTGACAGCTTGTCTCTCCTCTTAGAGTGCTGGATCAACACAAGCTGTCAAAGGAACAGTGGGAAGAGAGAATCCAGGTTTGGCACGAGGAGCACAGATTCATGGTGAAGTAAGTAAAGACCTGCTGACAATGTGGGAGTTTTCTGCCTTGATGAATGCTTTGCATTGTTATGTTAATGAAAGTTAAAAAAAAATAAGAAGAAAAATAAAACAGGCAGGAATGTTTACTTAAAAAAAAAATCCTGTTTAGTTTATATAAGTGAAATGCACCTACATGTATAAAATAAGCATTTTATTATGATATTAAAGTGGATTTTTAGACAGTTTGAGATGCATTTATAAACTTAGTTAGGAATGTAAGGTTATGACAAAAAATATTTTTCTGTTGATGATTTTGAGTAAAAGTAACATTTCTGCTATAAGGTTTATTTCAGTGACAGCTAGTTAACACCCTGAATGACCGACGATAGTATCAATAACCCATGACCAAAGTCCAACATGGCTGCCTTCATATAAAACTTTATGCTAACATGAAGACAGAAACGCCTTTCACTTCTCTCTTTTAGTTTCTGCTTAAATCTTTAACAGACACAAACTCTGAAATCAGACGCCAACATTTATGAACTTAAAATCTCAACTGTTGGGGAAAAAAAACAAAAAAAATATCAATTGAAGGGCATATGTTACTGTTGGCTTTTATGCGTTAAAAGGCTGCAGAGCCAATCAGTTAAAAGGCTGTGCTGGTTTTTAAACTTTGAACTGGAATGTAATTAGGTTGGGTTTAATGCTACTTCCAGATAAAAGTTTCAGCTTTAGAGGTAAATAAAAAAAAAAAATACAGAATTTTCACTCGCACTTGTTCCAAGTAAATGTTACGGTGTCTACTTTGAATGAACCGGCCAAAATTCCAGCTGTGGTCCTTGAACATGATGGTTATAGATCTTATTGAACATGTCTAGGTTGCTTAAAGACAAAAGATAAGTGAAAACAGAAAAATAGGAAGCTTTTGAGGAAAAAAAAAAGATCACATTATACAGAACAAACCTATAAAACCTGTAACATCATCAGCGACCCCTCACACCTCCACCGCGGACTGTTCTCCCTGCTGCCCTCTGGGAAGCGACTTTGCAGCTTTCACTGCAGGAACAGCAGGTTCTGCAACAGCGTATCCATCAGACTGTTGAACTCTAAACTGGACTTGGCGTCACGCTTGGAACATTATTTTGCACCACCGACATGGCAGAAACTTTTATAATCCTTTTAAATAGGACACAACTCGATTTTATACTACATTTCTGAACCATATTTATTTTGCACTGCACTGAATATTTCCATATTGATGCCCTTTTGCACCATTCTTTTTTTAAAAGTGGTTTTCCTTTTACCCTATATGGTTTACATGATTATCACTTCTGCACTTAAAGTGATAACGTGCATTTCACTGCTGTAAGTTGCTCATTCACTGTTAGAAGCTGTAACAAAATAATAATAATTTAACTTCATGATCTCACAATGGAGAAATTAATCTCTGCTTTTAACCCATCCCCTTGGGGAGCAGTGGGCTGCCATTGTGTGGCGCCCGGGGAGCAGTGTGAGGTTTAGGGTCTAGCTCAGGCATCCAGAGTGGAGGCCGTGGTGATCTAACTGGGTACTTGCAAGCTTCTCAGAGAACAAGCGCACTGCTCTAACCCATTAGGCCAACACTCCCAAGCTACATAATTTTGTGTTGTATACACTCGGTGTATACAACATGACTATAAAGTTTGTCTAAGTCTAAATGAAAAAGCTGCAAGTGATGTTGGTTTTACTTCCCTCACAATGGCTGCCTGCATTTTCTTCTGTTACAAGAAGATGTGTCCTGAATGATGCTCAAGCAGTGTTTTCCTGAACTACACCAAAATTAGAATTATAAGTGGGAAAGTCAGCGCAACAGGATGGTACCTGACTTTTACATTCAAGATGGATGTTCATCAACATGAGTTAAAATCTCCTGCTTCACAGTTTTCTATTGCAGTTAATAGTTCAGGTAAGACTGACAAGTAAGTCTGTATAGAGCAATATATTTCGAGGCTGTGTAACAGTAGCTGTAGTGTGGTCCAAAAGTGGGAGATTACAGCTCTCAGAATTCTCAAAATCTGGTTCCGAGCACAATGGACCGCATCATATGTACTATGATCATCCACTAGGCCTTCATAGATATAGTTCAAAGTTAACAAATAACACAATGAATATTGTTGTTGGATTCTGTAAATATTGTGCTATAATTTAATGTTACCCTAATATAATGGAGCCACACCCGATAAAATAAATAAAACCAATGTTATTTTGACTTGAAACAGGGAAGATGCAATGATGGAGTATCTAAAGATCGCTCAGGATCTGGAAATGTTCGGTGTTAATTACTATGAGATAAGGAACAAGAAGGGCACAGAACTTTGGCTGGGAGTCGACGCACTAGGGATCAACATCTATCCAAAGGATGACAGGTAAAAGCTTTATAATAGGGTTTAATTGCACTGTTTTTGTTTGTTTTTAATTTCTATATCCAGATTTTTTTTGTATCTTCTTCTTTTTTTCTAAACGTGGAATTTCAATACTAACATCAGTCATTGTGGACATTTATAGTTTTTTCAGATTGTTTTACGGGGGAGGACATCAAATTAGCAGTCAAACCTCTGCTGCCTTTTATTTTTCCTTCCGTCATGTTTTAGTCGCTTGGCTGACCATGTAGACTGTGTTTCTAACACAAGTTTGACCTATTACTCAACATACACTTCTAATTTCCTGCTTGATTTTCTGATGCTGCCTTTATCCATATTTTTCAAACATGTTTCAGGCTGACCCCCAAAATTGGATTCCCGTGGAGTGAAATTAGAAACATTTCTTTTTCTGAAAAGAAATTTATCATCAAGCCAAACGATAAGAAATCTCCAGTAAGTATCCCATGAGTTGGGATTTTACCCAGTGAGTCAGTAACTTTAGCTCTACAAATCAAGCAGGTGTTTTCTTAAGATGACGTTTCTGTTTTTTTTTTCTGCCTCTCAAAGGACGTTATTCTCTACGTTGCACGTCCGCGTGTCGGAAAGAACATCATGCTTATTTCTAAGAGCAACCATGCCCTGTATGTTCGCCGTCGGAAGCCCGACAACATCGAGGTTCAACAGATGAAGGCTCAGGCCAAACAGGACAGGCACCAGAAGAAGATGGAGAGGTAAGACAGATGAAAAAAGATCTTCAAATCTACAAAACAATCTACATGTGAAATGATTCAAGAAGACAGGAAAACAATTTATTTTCGTTCTTACTTCGTGAGCTTTTCACGTTATACCAAAAAAGTAAAAAAAAAAAAATTAAGTTTAATTGAAATTTTAGGGGAATGACCAATATAAAGTAGTCCATATCTGGGAAGTAGAAGGAATATGATCTGATCAGCTCCCGCAGCATGCTGCTGCCACCACCGTATTTCTGGGGCTGGAGGTCCATAAACATTTTTGTACCCAAGCCAAAAAAATGTAATTTTAATTTCATCCTAAAGCAGCCCCCTCTTCATCATTTCTGGAACTGGAACTTCCTTGTAACCAGTCCAAGATAAAAGCCTGATATTTGGGGGTGCATGGTTAATAGTTGTCTTGGCAACAGTTTCCTGTTGCCATTGAAAAGTGTGGTTTTGAAGGGACAAGATACCACGTAAAGCTGGTATGGGATGTGAGTGATTAATGTGCGTGTGTGTCCTGCAGGGAACAGCTGGAGAGCGAAAAGAAGATGAGAGAAAGTATTGAGAAGGAGAAAGAGCAGATGGAGAGAGAAAAGCAGGAGCTGATGATGAAGCTCTACGAGTTTGAAGAGACTACTAAGAGAGCAGAACGAGGTGGGGCAAACCACGTCACAACCAAGCTGTCTAAATATGAACGCTGCTTAAGAAATGGTCCTTATTTTCCCAGTGCACCCAAGACAAAAACTCAGAGCCCACCATCTTTATTCATGATGCAGTGAATGTTTCAAACACTGGAAAATGATTTTACTGCCCTCTGCTGTTTTTTTAATTCATTTATTTTGTAGTTGACAGACCCTGAATGGTACATCAGTTAAAGTTCTGCTTTTGCTGCTTCTGTTTTTTTTTTTTTTTAGATTTTTTACGCCAATATTCATAGAATGAATAAAGAAAGAGAAAAATTTTTAAAATAAAATAGCTTCCCCAACCCCTACTGGCATACAGCATTTAATAGATTCTCCTGGGTGCTGATTTAAACCCGCAGAGCTTCGGGAGCAGCTGGAGCGGGCCATGAGGCTGGAGGAGGAGAGGAGGAGGGTGGAGCAGGAGGCGGCCCGGCTGGAAGCTGAGAGGATGGAGGCCATAATTGCCAAGGAGGAGCTGGCCAGGCAAGCTGAGGAGCAGATGAAGAGCCAGGAGCAGCTGGTGAGTGTACAGCATAAGTGAACCAATCCTGATATAAGTATAAACACACATTAGCTGTTTTAGCTGCAGTTTATGGCTTAATTATTTACTTCTGAATCTTTAAAGTATAACCCGCTCATTTAGGTAAAGCTTTATCTGGATATAGAGGAATTTAAAGTAAAAAAATATATAATCTTGATAAGCACAGATTGTTTATTGTTCTCTTATGTTTTAGTAAAAAAAAAACAGAAAGTCAGAGTAATTTTGACACTTGTGTTTAAAATCCCTTTGCATTGTTCTCTCTTAGGCTGCAGAGCTGCAGGAGTACAGCGCCAAGATCGCTGAGCTGGAGCAGGCCAAGAGAGAAAAGGAGGAGGAAGCTGAGACATGGCACGTCAAGGTAAACTTTCCAAAAGGTGGCCGAAGCCTTCTCGATAGGACGTCAAGGAGGGTGGCCAAATGAAACACTTCCTCACTGTGTCATTGGTTCCAGAGCAGAGAAAAAAAAAAACATTTTATTCTCAGCAGGTTTAAGGTTATTTAAAAGAAATAAAATGGTTAAGAAATTGCTGAAATGAATAAACAACACCAAGTGCATTAACAACACTGATTAAGAAAAAGGGACACATATTTCTATCTTGAAGCAGGAAAAACAAAAGAACATATCATTCATGCTTCTAGTAATTCAGGAAATAGCAGTAAAAAAATAAAATTAATTAAACTTGTCCACGACTTCAGTCAATTTCAGGAGTTTGCTGGAAGATCCACATGGAGGCGGAGCTGTCATTCAAAGCTCCAATGAGTGGCACTCTCCCTGGTCCATTTATGAGCATCAAGACTTTTGAATTAACTAATCATCTGTTCTGTCTTTACACAATCATAAGGTTTTATGCAATCTTTTTTAAAAGGAGCCACCTGTTAAGCAGGAAGGGACACTGTAATGTTGATGTGCATTTAAAAAAAAAAACTCTACAAAGTGTTGAGAAACTAATGAAAAAAAGCATACCCAGGAGTTGTCATGTCTTCATCCAACTGTTAGATATAATCTACATCTCAACTAGTTATTTGTAGGTCTCATCTGAAATCTACTGGGAACTTTACACTGGAATATTTTTCTGAGACATTTTTCTGCATCAAGCACCTCGATAAAATTAAACCCATCTTTAAACTGGACAAAATTATGTCTAACGCTAAGTATTTGTCTTTTAATAGCTTTTTTAAACTTTCATTTCAGTTTCTTTTAATTTTGATCAATTTCTTAATGCTATCATTCTTATTGCAGGGGTTTATTATATACTAAGAAAAAAGTGGAATATGACATTACACTGAAGCAGTAAAAGAGAATAAAAGAAGCCTTTTTAAAATACTTCATAAGAAATATCCCAAATCCACTAATGGTTATTTGAAATCATGTGCTGCATTCCCACTGTCTTCTGCTGATGAAGTCCCTTCTGATCGGATATTCCAGGCTGCAGAAGTGGAGCAGAACCTAATAAAGACCAAGGTAGAGCTACAACATGTGAGAACCACCTCCAACTCTGTCCCGTCGGGTGGGTCGTCATCCTCCTCTTCAGACAGCGAGAGTGACAATGAGCACAGCGAAGTAAACAGCACCCACAGCGCTGAGCTGCAGACGCAGGGCATCAATGATCACCGCAGGGAGGAGGAGCGGCTCACTGAAGCTGAGAAGAACGAGCGCTTGAAGAGGCAGCTGAGGGTAAGCTCAGACTTCCAAGAAGTGTGAAATCAGAAATAGCAACTTATTTTATTCTAATAAATGTTATTTTCCAAGATATGAGAATTTATTCTCAGCACACAGAGCAGTTTCAGTGGCTACAACATCTATTTAGACATAAACTGTATGGAGAGAATTTTATTTCATAATTCCTGCAAGAAAGATTTTGTTTTGTAAATAGAAATTTAAACAGAAATGAAATTTTGAAAGACTTTTTATTTAAAAAAATGTTTCGGGAGTAATTTTGCTGGTTTCTCAAATGATTTTTTTTAATACGTTCAAATCTATTTTTTGTATTTAGTTTTTAAAATATTTCTATACATTTAATATTTCCAAATTTTTTTTAAGATTTTTTATTTTCATTTTCTTTTTACAGTTTAGTTTTTTTCAGATTGAGTTTTACAAATTGCATTCTTTTCAAATTGAGTCTCGCTTTATGTCTGAGGTAGGGCTTTCCTTTGCATCGAGGGGCTTAAGTAAATTTCTGTTAGAAATGGATGTCCGCAACAACATTATTTATATATATATAAAAAATAGCCAGTGTTCAAATAGAGAAATATAAAAAAAAGAGGATGTGATCTTAGCAATGCAATTTTAAAATAATTAATACAAAAATAATAATCTATTTCTGAAAAAAAATTCTATTTCTGATTTCTGAAAAACAGAAATCTGTAAGAAATGAAATTGAAAAATAAAATGAAAAAATAATAATAACAATTTGAATAACAAAATCTGAGAAACCAGAAAAGTTTTTTTATTATAGTTTTCAAAATTATTATTTTTTGTATTTCACTTTTCAAAATGTTCTTTTTATGTTGTTGCCGTGTTTTTTTTTTTCACATTTCAATTTACAAAACATATTCTTTGCTACAAAAATTATGTAGCAAAATTCACTCCATAAGGCTACATTAGAAAAGTACCAAGGTGAAATCAGATAAATGCACCAAACTTTTCATGGAAAAAAGCAATGAACATATGAGGAAGAGCTTTGCTCTGTTGCCTTACAGCATGATGGTGTTTCTAAGTGCTTTTCCAATGTTCTCGCTGTGTCTGCGTGGGCTTTTTTGCCAGGTCCTCTGGCTTCCTCCCACAGTCCAGAAATACGCATTTTAGGTTAAATGGTGATTCTAAACTTGCTGTAGGTGTGAGTGTGCATGGTTGTTTCCAGTGGGTGCAATTTTTTCAGAGCTGCAGACAAATCTGTTTGAAATGTGCAACCATACAGGTATAAAATTGACATTCCTGGATATTTGGGAGAAAGAAAACATGTTTCATGTTTGGGCCATCTGTACCATGAGTTCTTAGTTTGCAGAACTATTGTTTCATAGCTTCAGTTTCTGATAAAAAAACAAACAAACAAACAAACTGTTAAATCATCTTCAGTCCCAAATATTTTCAAGCGTTGCTGTTTCATAATGACCAGTTTGTCAGTTTGATTTTCAATTAAAAACTAAAAATATCTACAGAAATGTTAAAAAAAGGGGTTAAAGGAAGTGTTTTCACGTGTTTGAATAATCAACTGTGACTCTCTTCGCAGGAAATGAGCTTAGATCTGGAGCAGGCCAGAGATGATACCAAGAGGACCAAGTATGACGAGCTTCATGTTGAGAACATCCGTCTGGGACGTGACAAGTACAAAACCCTCAAACAAATCCGCCTTGGCAACACCAAGCAGAGGGTCGATGAGTTTGAGGCCTTGTAGAAAACCCTGGCAGGTGTATCCCATAAAAAAAAACAAAAAAAACAACAACAACAAAATACAACATCCAGGAATGATCTGCTTAGCTTATTACATACTACAGTGATTGCAGCCAGTGGCAGTTCTTGCATAAGTGGTGCCCCGGGCAGGACACTCCCTTCTCAACCCTACTCCTCCAAATGACACACACACACACACACACACACACACACACACACACACACACACACACACACACACACACACACACACACACACACACACACACACACACACACACACACACACACACACACACACACACACACACACACACACAAAAGATCTAAGAACAGGGACATATTATGTTTTAATAAGTTATAACTTACCAGAAACCAAATATATGATGAAGTAATCGTCACAAATCATAAAAAAAAGTTTTGTACAGATTATCCAATGTATAGGTGTGTGAATTTGTAAATGTCAGTAAATAACGTGAATACATTTAAAACTTGCTGTCAACTCAAACATGTATGTGACATCGGATGTTTCATTTGTGAGCTTCCATGTTAAGAAGTTACGGATGCAATTAAAAAAGTTAGGACAATCTAAATACAAATCACTAATTTATGACAACGGATCTACAGCCCCTGATGAATATGTTAGACTCTTTACTAGCTGGGGCTGGACATAAAATTTCTTTAAAGAAGAAAACAATACCACTTATTAAAGGTTATGCTGCACCTAACCCTGAAAATTTCATTAAGGATAAAGCTTTTTCTGTTTTCGTCTTCTTCCTCTTGTTCAGCTTTTAATGACAGCTGGTGAACAACCTTCAAGCGTATCATCATGTACATTTTTATTTGCCGTTTTGAAATGTTGTAACTTCTAAACTTTTATTCTCACAGATGAAACATCTGATGTCATGTACATATGAGTTGACAAGAAGTAATAAATACAATATTTAAAATTTATTAGTAATAATTGTCTTACATTGACATATTCAGTCACCTATGTATAAGTTTTTATTGAGAGTTATCTTACCCAATATCAGTGTCTTCACAAAGACTATAAAGGGGCCTTAAATAACAAATCATGTCTGGGGAATATTTTAGCACATTAGAAATCATTTTTAGGTTGGGTTATTTGCAACTTTTACATTCTAAGGATGAACAAATGCTATCTAAAGTCGCTTAGCTTTTAATATACCATATACTACAAATGCAAACTCCAGCATCATTATCCAGCTATTTTACTTCTTTTTGGCTTACATCATACATAAAATGAAAATAATCACCTCATACTAGTTAACTGGACATGTAAATAAGCTTTAGAAATCTATTGTCTTTGTCCTGATAGTTGTGCTGTACCTAAGCACATGCTGCCCTTGGTGGAGAGCCAAATCATCCATATCAAGAACCGCCACTGATTACAGCCATGTGTAACTTTTAAGACTGGCGGGAAAGGATGGTCTTAAACTGTAAAAATACTTCCATTCCTTTTGTTTTGTTGCTTAAAGCTTTGACTATTTTTTGTTATTCTAAAACATCCCATAAAATGGAGTGTATTCTTAATGGTACGATAACAGAGGATGATGATTTTATTCAAAGACCAGCGGTAAAAGGCTGGTGAAAAGGGGCACGTATGTGTGTTAATCATAAGTGGCCAAATTTGCATTTGCAAGTTTCGGTTTTCTAAACATGTGACAGAGTTTAGATTTATTTAATAAATGCAATATGCTGAAAATAATTATTAATCATTTGTGTAATATCTAGCTCATCCTACCGATTTTCTGACTTGCAACTGAAATGGATTGTGTTTTCTTTGTACTTGAAATGCAGAAATCAAAATAAGTTGGCTTCACATTAAAAAAACAAACAGGAATTCAAGTGAACTCAGGTGGCTCCTCAAAGGCTCCAACCTTAAAATCCAGCATGGTTTCTGAGGGAAGAAGCTGTATTAATACAATTTTATTTGTGTTTTTTTGATCATCTTGTTATCTTCAACAAGATAAGTTCCAACAATCCAAAAACATGCCTGTGGATATATTGTCATGCATGCATTGTTGTCCGTTCCTTAGTGTCTCAGGTTTGGACCCGACACCCTCTCCTTAGTATTGGCTACCTCTTGCCCATTAACCACCTTTTACTCTCAGATTGCTGCTTTATTATGAAAGAAACCACAATCATTAATATTTTGTTTGTATTAAATCACAACTGTTGAACACTATGACTCAAGTTTTGATGCTTTTGACTTTTTTGCACTTGCACAAGAGAATAAAAGTGAGGTTGGTAAGATTTTTTTTATTTTCTACTTTTTATTTTGATTTTATTTAATCTATTTTCTGTTTATATTTTTCTGAATTCCATATGTCTATATCATAAACATCAACAAATAATTGGTTCCCCATACCTTTGTGTTTTGGTGATGAGAGTAGGAAGCTGCAGAGACCAATACGGTCTCTCTTTTACTGTTCTTGTGTTGTGAAAAATCATTGCTCAAGTCAGGAAAAGACTTTAGCTGCCTGTATTTGACATACATTTTGATTTTGAAAAACAAAAAATGGATGAATAGATGTAGATTACAGTATAGTATAGGTTTTGTTACTATGCTCTTCCTCATTTGACTAAGATATAATCTTTAATGCTCTGCTGTAGGTTATGACATGTATTCTAACTTCAGCCATTGAAGTTACCTTCTTTATTAAAGAATCATTTACGATACGAAAACAGTAACAAGTTCTCTTCTAATCAGTGATGCATTATGTTACCTTTTAAAAAACAGATGACAAATTGTATTGTTTTCCCTGAAATATGAGGATCACAAAAACTTAATTTCACCAATAAGAGTCTAATACTGTAAATTCACTTTTTATTTCTGGCTGTGCATTAAATTTTGTTTGCACTTGTACTGCTTGGCATTTAGGTGGCAGTATATACAATAGAGTTCAATGAAGTAACTGAGGATGTACTAATCCGCTCAAGTGACCGGAGATATTTCGGCCTCTGTCCAGATCGTTATATCACGTGTGAAAATGCATAAGTGAACAGAACGAAGAATTGGACAAAAGCCTCTTTTAGAGGTGACTTTGGTCCGCCTTCAAATGGATTCTCCAAATATAGGAAATGTAGGTCTTTTGGAACTTAGCAGACCAACATAAATGGACCTGGAGCAATAGGGAATGTAGGGGATGTTTATTAGTTTTCCTACTGGCATCCAGTTGATATATTTCAAGGCTATGTATATATGTTATAAGACCTGTGTCGACTGAGTTGCCCATGACACTATAAATCCTTTTGCAGCTTTAAGCCAGACACAAATAAGAATTTTATAATAGTTCTCATCGATTTCCTGCTCAGTTTGCAAGGTTGTATCTGTCTAATGAGAGGAACATTCATCACATGGTGGATTCGTCTGCTAAAATTCTAGATAATGAGCAATACATTCCTTATATAGAATAAAAAGAAGGTGTTTGTGCAATTCAATTCAATTCAGTGTATTTATATAGCGCCAAATTCACAACACATGTCATCTCAAGGCACTTTACAGTTCAAACAGATCATACAGTCAAATGATCTGGTTGCAACTGTGCACTTGTTGCATGAGATCTACTAAGATTGTGTGTCTAAATAACAGATGCAAAACTGTGGCGGCCCACCCTGTTTGAAATAGGATTCTGCTTACTGGCTGGTGCCATGAGGAGTTTGAGTGAGATAAATGAAAGCGGCGCTTGTATGACGTCATCCACGTGCGCCGGCTACCGTTCATTCATCCTGTCCGCTAAACTGATGCTAGTTTTACTTACATGCCTGGAAGATGTCTAGTGCTACTACCACAGATGATCTCGCTCTCAAAATGAAATTGAACGATTCAGATTAGCTTGCCGAACGAATATAAGGGGTAGAGCGTAGCTGCCTGTGGCCCGGGCTGCCTGTCACAACTCCAGTCCGGCACGCAGATGACGTCATACACACGCCGCTTTGTTTTTAAAAGTATAAATATAAAAAATATAACCGCGGATGTCTGGGGGACAGTGATTCGCCCACATGTTATGAATGCTGGCATACCATAAAGAATAATTTATGAACAGTTTAGTGTGTGCCTTCAACTCGTTGCCCATAGGAAGACGTTACTTGGACATAACCAAACCGAATATCTTCAGAACAGCTCCAAATAACACAAAACTCATATGGGTGAGTAGAACATGATGTAATAACATAAAATCAAGGGCCCGATGTAAAAAAAAATGGTGTTTCCCTTTAATAAAACAGATAAAGTCTGTTGGTGCATCAAAAAAATCTTTCCCTGGATTGTTTAACCATCAAAATAAGTCAAAATCATCTAACACATCTGCTAAATAAAAATCTATAGAAAAAACAAACAAACAGCTATCTCCCTACTAGAACCAATTAAAGGTAAAACTTCTACTCTGCCTTTATATATATATATATATTTTTTGCTGTGGTAATATTTCCTCGCAACAGAACCCTTGTCCACTAAAGCCAAGGTACTTTTCAACACTTCACAGTACATACCAGAAAATAGCTGCTGCTGTCTGTTATGAAAACAAACAAACAAACATACGTTTTGAAGTTTAAATTAACAACAATAACCAAAACCTATGCAACTCAGTTGATGATTGAACCATATTTTACCCAGGCTATGGCAGGGCTTGAGTGAAGGCCAAGGGGGGAATGGCCACCCACTGTGGAACAAGCCGTTCTCCTCTAAACAAGAGGATGGCAGCAGTAAAGACACCATGTCCAACTTCGACATTTCAAGTTTTTGTATTAACCAAAACCTGAACAGAAATACAACAATTAATTATTCACAACTATATAAACCAATAAAAACGAATAAGAAAGAATGTACGCTCTTCCAGGAATTACTTTTTATGTCTTATGGGGGAAAGTTTTTCTCTGCAATAATCTGTGAATAATGTAAGTAAGAACATCTACTGAACCCATTTAATTTTTTTAAAATTTTTTTGGTTGATATAGAACCATAAAATATGATTCGAACATCCATGATTTACAATATATGTTTAAATATATGCAAATGTTGTTTTATCAGCAAGGGTCTCAAAAAGCAGGTCTGTCGTCAGGGATTTATTTGGAAAATATGCGTCTTTTGCAATTTCAAGGAGCCTACTAGTTTTTGCTACTGAAAAAAAAAAAAAGTTAACTGATTTTTAAATTTTATCTGAGTATAATTGAAAAAAAAAGGTCAGAATTCGGACTTTCATCTCATAGTATGACATTTAATCTCAGAATTCTGACTTTTTTCCTCAGAATTCTGACTTTTTTTTATCAGAATTCTGACTTTAATCTCTGGATTCTGACTTTTTTCCTCAGAATTCTGACTTTTTACCCATATTGAAAACTACTGAATAATATTTGAAAATCAGTTCACTTTTTTTTTTAGCACTGCTGCCTTGTAGCAAGAAGGTAGAAGAAGGTTCGATTCCCGGCCCGGGGTCTTTCTGCATGGAGTTTGCATGTTCTCCCTGAGCATGCCTGGCTTCCGGCTTCCTCCCACAGTCCAAAAACATGAGTGTTAGGTTAATCTTCTCTAAATACTCCTTAGGTGTGTGTGAATGGTTGTTTGTCTCTGTGTTGCCCTGCGATGGACTGGTGACCTGTACAGGGTGTACCCCACTTGGGATCGTGTGTGAGAAGATGGATGGATGGCTATTATTTGTTGTAAAAAAGTAAATTATATAGCCATTCACTGTTTTGGCCCAAATAATAATTTGACGGGTAATTGGGGGAAAAAAATCCCTAATCCTTCAGGGTAATCTCCTACAAATGTGCCAGAATATCCATCACCAGGTTGCTTGAGGAATCAGGGCTCTTAATTGTTTAAAGGAAATCTTTATTTGTTTTGTTTTGAATAAACAGATACACTTAATCACATCTGCTGATGAGGATAACTTCCTGTCAGAGATGAGGATTGCTGTGGGTTTGTGAAAGGTGTTTGGATTCAGCTGCCACTCCAAGAAGTCTGTGGGATTGCCCTGGGTGTCTTTTCTTTTTTCTCTTTCTGTGAGATCTAAATATAAGACGGTGACAAATAATCCAAATAGCCTACAGTAGCAACCCAACTGTGATGTGGGGGTGGTTGCGGCTCCATCTCCTAAAGTCTCCTCTGTTGGATCCGGAGTGCGTCAGGAGAAGGTCGCAGAGCGCATCAGCTGCCGCACGCGGCCGACTTCCCCCTCGCATCTTGTTACCATGAAGAGACAAAACGCCAGGACGCTCGCCCTCATCATCAGCATCCTCACCTACCTGGTGGTCGGGGCGGCCGTCTTCGAGACCCTGGAGTCAAAACAGGAGAAAAGTCACAAGAGGAGGCTGGACGCCAGGAAGTACGAACTCATGCGCAAATTTAACTTGACCAAAGCGAACTTCGAGGAGCTGGAGCTCGTCGTTCTGCAGCTCAAACCTCACAAAGCTGGAGTTCAGTGGAAATTTGCGGGCTCCTTTTACTTCGCCATCACTGTGATCACAACCATAGGTAAGAAACAGGTGCATTTCTATTAGTGCTCCTCATTAACACGATTTATTTTGTTTTTCCAAAGTAATGGGTCACTTATAATTATCCATGCCCAATATCACCTTTTAATTGGTGTGTTGGTCAACAAATTGAAAAAAAAAAAATACAGGTGATAAGAGTTAGATACAGGGGCGCCGCCAGGAATTTGGGGCCCCATGAAAGATATTGATGTACTGAAGAATATCATTTACATTTTAAATATAATTTTTTTTGTAAAAGTTCTACAAAGGAAAATTAACAGTACATGAAAAAGTTAAATATACATTAACTTTAAAACTGAATATACAATGGTGAGTTTATTCTTGCTTTGTTTCGTGATTTACTGCTGAAAAATGAGGGAGAACACAAAAAGTATTTATTTAACTGCTGGATTTTCTTTTTTATATTTGAAATATCTATTGGGATTTCTTCTCTTCTTCTTTTGGGCCCCGATTGAATCAAGGGCCCTTAGAATCTTCCGAACTCCCCCCCCAATACGGCGCCCCTGTTTGATAGGCGTGATAATCATTAAAGAAGGCTTTGATATGAAGGTATAACTGGGAAATATTTGACAATATTGTTTAAACTTTAAACAGCTAAATAAACTATGTCCTTCTTTCTTATATTATATTTTTACCATAGATTAATTTTTAAAGATCCATTCATTTTCCAATTTTAAACAAACTTAATGTGTTTCAAACTATAAAAACAACTCATGTAACCTTATTTATTTATGTATTTATTTGTTTGTTTATTTTTGTGATGCACCTGTTTGGATCCTGAGGCTTGCCCACCAGAGGGCGCTGAGGATCCCTTCGTAGGGGGAAGCTCCCTGGAGCTTGAGCAGAGCAGCAGAGGGGGAGAAAACCAGGAGGGTTCAGAGGCTGATGGCAGGTTGAGGGGTTGGTGGAGGCTGAGCTTGGTTAGAGCTTGTAGATCTCCAGGTTTGAGTTTCCCTTCCAGATTCTTCTGGGAGCAGGCTGGCTGATCTTTGACAGGTTAGGTTCTCCAGGGTTCTTCTGAGATCAGACAGACAGATTTCCACCAGAGAAACTCTTCAGGGTGTTTCTGGTTTCTGGAAGGTTCAACCTGGAACAGAGAAGACAAAATGGATCAGGTTCTGTTTCAGGTATCGTAATCAGGAGACTAGACAGGCAGGTTGGTTCAGGGTTTGCTGTACCGTAACTAACTAACACTCTGGCGCAGGAGTGAGGTTCTCAGCCCGCTTAAGTACTGGTCTCCTGATGAGCAGACGAGGAACAGCTGGTGAAGTCAGCTCCATCTTCAGGAGATCCAATACGCCCTCAGGTGGAGAAAGGTAGACAGAACCCCAGATCCCAACAGTAACACAAACCCCTAGGAAGGGATCCTCGGCGCCCTCTGGTGGGCAAGCCTCAGGATCCCAACAGCACCAAATCAGAAATGTAGCAAATTTCCATTTGTCAAATTTTCGGACCTCTTTAAATAATAGAAATTGAGCATCTTTTAAAAAAAGAAACAAAAGACATGTTAATTATAATATAAGCAAAATTATTTACTATAAAATCTTCCAGATTATAGGACAAGTGGGTATTAACCAAAACAACACCTAAAACAAAGGAGTGAACACCTCAAAAACTGTAAAAATGTAGCTGTGCAGCACTATCCTGTAGTTTTCCATTTAGTGTTAAACAAACATATAGATGTTTTCTCTTTTGCATTTGATCATAAAAGATAAAAATTTTCTTTCAAACAAATTCACACAATTTACTGTAACTTTACCAGAAGGAATTCATCCGATTAATAAGGATTAATCGATTACTGAAATAATTGCCAATTAATTAAATTGTTGAGTAATCACTAATTGAAGTATGCAGACTCCAGTTGACATTATGTTTGCTGAAAAAAAAAGAAACACTGAGCAGTAATTTATTAAGAATCCTTTTCACTCATGTTTAAAATACATTAGCCTGGGCAGCCATATTGATAGGCTACACCGTGAATCAGTCAGGTAAAGAGCTGATAGAACTCGATTTCAATGGTAGGACTAGCAGGGTCAACCTCATCAGGTTAAAAACATCAGAAAACTACGCGACTCCAAGCGATACTGTTTTTTTGTAATTTTATAGTCTGTGAAACATGTTCATGAAACTCTCCAGGGAAGGATTTCTGCTGGGTTTGCCTTAAAAAAAGTGGCTATGAGGGGTTATCTCTATTTTTTTCTTTATTTTCATTTCAACATTGCTCCATTGCGGTTAGCAACTAGTTGTTTTACTAGCAGAAAACCACTGCTGTATTATGGGTAATTCTGGCTCTGAGAATCATGCATTGTAAAGTCCTGCCTTTTGTGATTGGTCTGGCCAGATCTGGCTGGATTCAACAGTGGTTTACCAGACTGTCTGCCTGACCAGACTAAAATAATTATAAATAAATAAATACCATTTAGTTAATAGACTAATATGTTTGTTTATTTAAAGATTTCATTTATAATGGAATTTCATTTTGACACTTGTAAAAAGCAAGTAAAGCTCTCTACGTGTTTAAAGGACCTTTATTTTGCCACCTGTCCAGAAAAATACAGAATCGTCCTTTAATGAACCAATACTAGACGTGGTTTTCCCATATTTTCACAATTGTCAGATACATATTTCTGTCACAAACATTAACACCAAATCTAACCAAATAAATTGTAGTAAATTCTAAAGTCAGCTAAATTGTCCTGGCAGGATCTATGCAGGACCCCCTCAGCTCTGCTTGGCTTCTGTCACAGTTGCCTAGAGACAGGATCCACTAACCTGTCACCCACGTTCATAGATCAGGGCTAAAACACTACAGAGTCATAATTATGTAGAATCCAAAGCATCAGTCCTCCTGTACTAATATTGTATGGAAATACCTGTTTAAAAGGGGTTAATAAAGAATTTTTGAATTGAAAATTATGATTCTATACATTATATATGTGGAGTTAATGGTCATATTAATATTCTGTAGTATTAGCTAATATAAATGGTAATTTAAAGCAGTGCTTCTCAAAGTGGGGGTTGAGGGATGGTTTTCACAATCATTGTGATATGATCCCTGAGGTATTTGTCAAGATTTGGAACAGAGGACCCATTCTTTAAAGCAGACAGACAGTACTCAAAAAGCATTCATTTAAAAATTGATCTGCAGTAACAGCTGCCAGAGCATCTAAGGCAGGAACATCTGCAGAAAGGAAACAAAGGTTAGTGACCACGTAAATCTCACATGGAATGATTGAGGTTGATGTCGGTCGGCTGAGAACATGAAGTGGTTGCCACACAGTTCCAGTCAGAGTTCCAGACACTGAAGCCTTTAACACTACAGAACTGGCAGTAGATCAGATCCAAGCAAATGAAGGAAGGCAGGACAATCCAGATGGTGAAGTCCAAACCGGTGTAGAGGAAATGCTCAGGATTCAGAACCAGGAGATCAGAGGTCCGAAGAGTTTCCGAAGGGACATCCAGGCCGGTGACAGGAGCCAGTTCCATGTTAGGTTAACAGGCAGAATCCAGCAGAAGTCAGAAGACAAGTCAGGCAAACAGAACAGGAACAGGCATGCTCAGATGTCCAGAGTCAGAATGGGCCAAACAATCAGAATGCAATCATTTATGCCAGAGAATTCTCACGAAATGCTGGAGAATAATATGGCACTGATGACTGGAAGCCTGGTAGCTTAAATAGAGACTAGAGCATGTAACACAGATGAACAGTGATGAAAAAAACTGGGCAGGGCTAGGCAGGTGAATGGAATGAACAATCAAGCCAGTCATCAGCGCCAAGATCATGACAATGGAAGGCCAAAATACATCAAGAAAAAACGAATACCCCAAGAAAAGAATAAATGCACAATGAAATATGCAAAAGCAATAATTAGTTATTTCTCTAAAGGGCGACTCAAATATAGTTACCTTTAAACTTGGAGAAAAGAGTGAATAAAATGTATGAATGAATGAGGTTATCTTTGTTATCATTAAGTATTAGAAAATATAATTTTGTGAAAATGTGTAATTTTAAAGTGAAAGTCCAAAATATTTAAAGCTGAACTTTGAGGCCCTAGATGCTGTTCAGTATGTAGTAAAAGTTTAAGTTTAAATATAATATTAAGTTAAAACTAAGTGTGGCCTTGTAGGCGGTCCACTGTGTTACTGAGGCTCTCACTGTAATGGCGTAAGCATTTCAGGGATTATCTCCCCTCCTCCAGCCTGAGGTGGTTTTGTCCAGTCCAAGATTGACATCAATATTAAGCCAATACCAAAGTTGGATCATGTTGGATCATGCCTATGTTTGAACTGTTTTCTAAATTAAGCAGGAATTACTTTATAAATAATTTAATCAAAATACAAAATATGAATTGTTGCCTCATTTAAAATTAAACAGTTCATTAAATCCTGCAAATATCTGAATGTTGAATGTTTGAACATGTGGTTCCTTTTGCCTGATAAAAATAAAATAACTTTCTTCACGTTCTATGAATTGACAAAAGAGGCTTTCTCTTTACAGGCCCTGTTCAGATGACAAGATTCTGCTTGAGAAAAGATTTTTTTGTTCATAGAATTATATATATATATATATATATATATATATATATATATATATATATATATATATATATATATATATATATATGTGTATATATATAATTTTTTTTTTTTGCAAACATTGTGTTGTTTCTTTTTTGTATCTATTTAATTCATATTTCTCTTGTATTTCTCTTTCTGGATGGAGTTTTATGTAGTGCATTCTTTTTAAACTATGTTTTACAGTTCACATTCTCTTCACTTTAAAGGAATAGTACACCCAAAACATGATTAGCCTTCATTTTCTACTCACCCCCATGCTAAACAACACTCTGGAGTACTTTTTTGATATCTCAAATGCATCTGGAGATCTGGGAGGCTTCTTGCTGTCTGCTGACATTCAAATAATGGAGGTCCATGGCGCCCGAGGCAGAAAGGTCCATAAAAGTCCACAAAAAACGTGTCAATATTCCTCCATACTGCTCGTCCAATGTATTCCAAGTGTCCTGAGTGGGTAGTGTCCATAATTTACTCGAAACGAAGTCATTTAGAATGTTTTTAGAGCATAAACAGTAGTGTATAGGATTTCCTAAAAGCGCGTTCACGAGTCTACGGAAACCGCGGCAGACCAAACCAGATGAAAGTGCGCATTCAGCTCGGCAAAGAACTCATGCTCTTCCTCAACACTGAAGTCCTCAGACATTTTTCTTTCGTTGTTTCTTTCTTTGCACAGGTAAACAGCACATTTCTTCTTCTACGCTTGCATTATCAGCAGAGCAGACGCTGAATGCGCACTTTCATCTGGTTTGGTCTGCCGCGGTTTCCGTAGCCTCGTGAACGCGCCGGCGCGCGCTTTCAGGAAATCCTATACACTACTGTTTATGCTCTAAAAACATTCTAAATGACTTTGTTTCGAGTAAATTATGGACGCTACCCACTCAGGACACTTGGAATACATTGGACGAGCAGTATGGCGGAATATTGACACGTTTTTTGTGGACTTTTATGGACCTTTCTGCCTCGGGCACCATAGACCTCCATTATTTGAATGTCAGCAGACAGCAAGAAGCCTCCCAGATCTCCAGATGCATTTGAGATATCAAAAAAGTACTCCAGAGTGTTGTTTAGCATCGGGGTGAGTAGAAAATGAAGGCTAATCATGTTTTGGATGTACTATTCCTTTAAGCCCAATAAAATACACTTGCTCTTGGCCAATAAAATGTTGTTGCTAACGTCCAAACAGACCAAATGAAATGCGTTTTCACTCCTCGCTACAAAGGAAAGAGAATTGAATCTGTAAATCGCAATTTTTAAAGAATGAAATTTTTTTAAATTATTTATTATCTCATCGCTACTCCTCTATAAAAAAAGCCACTGGAAACCGAAATGTAGCTCAATCCAAATGCAGGTGATTGGGAAATCAGGATGTTTACAGCACTATGCGCTGGTTCTCATGGGAAATGTGGTCTTCGTGCAAAACAATACAGCTTTTGCCCACTGGGGGAGCCAAAATTGACAAAAACTGAACATTTTTAGAACTCCTTTAAATCATTTTTAAAAAATGTAAAAATTTAATAAGATTTTTTTAAATTCGAAATAAAACCCAAGAAAATAGGACAAAATATTAAACCAAAAATAAGAGCACAAAATGTGTTCCCTTTGCAACAATAATGGAACAAAATTCACTCCACAGTCATGTTGACCTGGAGATGGAAACAGTAACAACAATGTTATTTCCATGTCATACCACTAGTGGGCGGTATGTTGTTTGTACAACCTGCATGTTTACAAAGACTTGCTGCTTAAAAAGCCACTCCCACTAGGTTGTTCTGCTCATATGCCAGCCTGCACACTAGCACTGTCCACAGGAGTATCTTTTTAGTGGAATCGGAAAGTTTATGTATATTTCTGCTGGTTATGTACATTAAAAACTGGCAGCGTTTTCTCTTAAAAAAGGTTTGAAAAAGTGAAAGCTGGCAGTATGTGGAAACCAGTATGGGGAAGCATGGGGCAGGCAAGCAAACACTGTTTTAACACCTACCTGTGTCTTGTTAACAGATATTGGAAACCAAACCAATCCCTTTTTCAATGTATTGTTGTCTTGTTTACAGGGCCTGTGAAACTCACTCTTCAGTTGTGCTATTTTCAGAAAAATATGCTCTGTTATGGTAAACTTTGCCTTTATAGTTCTAGGGGATGTGGTTTTAGAGCAGTTGATGTTTGTTGAGCACATTCCTAAGATATTAAGCTGTCAAGTGATAGGAATCAGAGATAAGCTGTGAGACCCCATATTTACGATCCTGTATTCTGTTGTAAATATGTGACATACTCTCTCCCAGGTTATGGCCATGCAGCGCCCAGCACCGACTCAGGAAAGGTGTTCTGCATGTTCTACGCCCTGCTTGGGATCCCTCTTACCCTGGTCATGTTCCAGAGCCTCGGAGAGCGCATCAACACGTTCGTCAAATACCTGCTGCATCAAGCCAAAAAGTGCCTGGGAATGCGTCAGACTGAGGTCTCCATGGCAAATATGGTGACAGTTGGCTTCTTCTCCTGCATGAGCACCCTGTGTGTGGGGGCTGCAGCGTTCTCCCACTGCGAGGGATGGAGTTTCCTGCACGCCTTTTACTACTGCTTCATTACTCTCACCACCATCGGCTTTGGAGATTACGTGGCTCTGCAGAGGGATGACGCTCTGCAGAATGACCCTCGCTACGTGGCGTTCTGCTTTGTTTACATCCTCATGGGCCTGACAGTGATTGGAGCGTTCCTAAACCTTGTTGTGCTTCGTTTCCTCACTATGAATACAGAGGATGAGCGGCGGGACGCCAAGCAGAGGGCCTTGATGTCTTTGGGAAAGCCCAGAGGAGAGGTGACTCGTCTTTTACCGCTCTCAACCTCAACTTCCTCCACAGCCGTAGCAAACAACACCACAAAGGCTAAAGATTCAAAAGGTGCCTACACCGAGGTGCTGCATTTCCAAACAATATGCTCCTGCTTGTGGTACAGAAGCAAAGAGAAGCTGCAGGGCTCCATACCCACTATGATTCCTCAGGAGATGACATTCTCTGATGCCTACTTGCAGCAGAACAGCAACTGTCCTCACTACATTGATCCTGGATCAACAGGCTGTGTGTGCAGTCCACGTCAGTGCCCCAGCATAAGCTCTATAACAACAGGCCTACACATTCTCTCTCCGTTCAATTTGTTCAAAAGACGCAGCTCTGTTTAGCCTTTCGCAGCAGCTGCTCGAGCTGGAGCCTTCAAAAATAACCATTAACTGCAACTAAATGTATGTGGTGCTAAAATCCTGGTATTCCAAGACTATAATGCACAGAAAAAGGAAAGTGCACAAACGGCAAAGTCTTGATCAAATATGAAATGGAGGAAGAACAGCCAGCAAGGTTTTCTTTTTAGGAGGTTTTCTGTGGATGATGGTACATGAGCTTAATGCAGTGCATTTTGTGCACCAGAGATAAAGGCATAGCAGATGCTGAAGTCAATGAAATTAAGAGATATGAGAACTAAATCTTATTTACCCTGCAGCATTTTTAACATTACATTTTTTTCTTTAATTATTTTGTTTGAGGTCTCTTAAATGTAGGCTTGCAATACTATGGAGTGAATTTTGTTCCACTGTTATTTCAAGCAAAGAAAATGTTTTTTAAAACAAAAGAAAAAATATCTTTAAATTTACCATCCAGTAATGAAGCTTTCAAAAAAATTTTAAGAAGTGATGTTGAGAGTAAATTTTTTTGGGTGTGTCAATTTTTTATTTTCTTTTATTTGTTAAAAATGTTTTCAGAATTAATATCTCAAAATTTGACATTGATATTTCAATATGCGCAATGCAAAGCAATAGAAATCCGTCTTTGCACCTCATGCAGGAGGAAAACCCCCTGAAGTGAAGAGAATATGATATGTAAACACAATTTGAAAATAATGAAATTGCAAACTCAATCTGAAAACAGAAATGTAATAAAAATGCAGAAACCATAAATTCTTTAAATATTTTTTAAAGAAAAATAAAGCGAAAAATATTATCTGAAAAAAAAAACTTTGAAGAAACAAACCCTTAAAAAACAGCAAAGTTACTCTCAACCCCTAGTTGTTTTTTAAATTTAAATAACATTTTCAGTGCAACAATAATGGAACAAAAATCCCTCCATACATTGCATCCAGCTTGCAGACAATTCATAGACATCATAAATTCTGTTTTCAGAAAAATAACAATTATTTAACCACAAACTGTTTTTGCACTCAGTTTAGTCTAAGTTGTATAATCCAGTCAAGGTGAAGCAAGGACACGTTTAATGCTTATCTCAAGGTTATCCTACTGAGAACAATAGACAAACCAATTGCATCCTGTCGTATATAGAAGAAATTATCAAATAACACTTGACATTTGGTAAAAGCAGGAACTTGCAAATCAGGTTTATTGTTTTTACTGACAGATATTATGTAATGATTTGTGTCTCCCACTTTTTTTTTGTTTTTGCTGCTATAAACCCAAAACAAATTACTTTTTGAACTAAACTTTATAAGCCAACTGTAGAAGAAGTATTTTTTTATTTTTTTTGTAACACAACAGGGACACTGAAAACTGATTCCTGTTTCGCTTCAAAATCAGAGTCTCAAACATAAACACAGCCTGTTCAAGCTTTTTACATGTGTCCAGAATAACAGCGGGAACCTGTTTCTCCTGTTAAAGCCATTGCACAATGCTGAGGGAGTAATTGATAGGATATGTTTTGGCATTTTATTTAAACCTTATTTCATAAGCTACATCCTTACTACGAAGACATGACACTTTTTCTACACCTTGCTCATAGCTTTTTGTCACCAATCAAATTTTTTGTTATCCTGACTTGAAGAGACAAATTTCAAATGAATCACATTTGTAGCTGCCCCATTATAATGACTGTCACCACTATTTGCTGTCATTTGTCAAGTGGAACATTGGCAGAGAAGACCAACTAAAAAAAAAAAAAAAATGACCGACTACAGAGAAGGACCGGTCCGGGCTGATATTACGCCTCGTTCTAGGTACTGACCGGAGTAACTGATTCACTGACCTAAGAAAATGAAGCGGAACATAAGGATGTAGGACATCGGCAATATATGGTGGGGCATTTAAAGACCTAAAAGAAAAGAAAATAATTTAAAATGAATCCTAAAATTAACCTGCAGCGAGTGAAGCAAACTTAAAACTGGGGAGATACGCTTGTTCAAACTTGCGTGTCCCAGTTAAAAGATGGCAAAAGACCCACAGAAACAGAAGAATCATAACCACATTAGACATGACGTGCACAGAATTATGCGGATCACATCTGGAGCGAACGGTATTTGCAAATGCTTTTTGGGAACAGTTTGTTGGGGCAGATGGGAGGGGGGTTACCACGTTGGTACAATGTATAATTAGTTGGTTGTCAATCACAGACAGCTTTGCATGACTAGACAGAATGAGCATGATTGATAGAAATAAAAAAGCATTCTCTGTCAGCTAACATTTGACTAAATTTGGCTGTTTGTCTGTGGTTAGAATCAACGGTAACCTTCACTTAATATGGAGGAGCAGCAGCAGCAGACTTTTAACTCCTCAGGATGAATCATTTCAAGTTGACCATCATTGTACATTCCAGCTTAACAATTAAAAAGCTTAAGAAAACAATCAGATATGAAACATTTTTAGTCATGACAAAGAGAAACGTTCCTCTTTCAATGCTAGGTTTCCTATTTTGGGAGTATTTTAATGGAAAACCAGTGCCCACTGTTAGGGACTGCAATTAAATCCTATTGTAACTTTGTTTTATTTTATTTATTCAAATCAATCACAAGCTTGACTGTCTGTCTTCTAGGACAACATGAAAATGTGATTCAAGCTCAAATCATTGTCAGACAGTCAACTCTGCACACATATGGAGTAAATTCACAAAGACTTTCATACTAAATACTGTAAATATGAACAAAAATCTCCAATTAAAAAAGTGATGTTCAACAAAACTAATTAGCCACTATGTACACATAGGAAAATGAAATAAATTGTCCGAAAACCATAATCAAGGATATGATGCAAGGATATCATAGTTTGGCATGGATTTTATGTTTAAGAACCAAAGTCTATCTTGAAGTATTTGGAATGTGTTCAAATTAGATTTTAAACTATTGTAGAGAAATTGGAATGTATTCAAACAATTCACAATGCCAATCCAAGAGACAAAGAGAAGATTGTTTGTTAAAATAATGTTTTAAGACAAAGGAGCAAGCTAGCAGACATGATAGGACTAGTTTTTTAGGTCATATTTTAGCAATCAAATGTAATGAGCATATCAAGAAACACAAAACTAATGCTATATTATGTTTAAATCCTTGTAAAAATAAAGCTTCTCCAACTTGGTAAACAGCAGCTCCAAACATGTTAGTATTGGTTTAACTACCATAGGATTGCTTATAGCTTCTGGCTTGCTTTACTTGACAGTAAAACACATTAATTGATCAGAAATCATGAAACACCCAAGTTGTTAGCTGGGAATTCTTTACCTAACCATGCCAGATCTATTACCTCCGTGTATCTCTTCTAAGTTCAGGAATGCTAAGTTTAGGCTGTGATATTGGTGAGTCTGTGTCCAGATGGCCTTGCTGGGAGGTTTGCATTTTGTTGGTCTCCTAGAAGTCTATGGGAAGGCCTTACGTAAACATATCACCAGAATGATTGACAATTAGGAGGACCTCTAAATTTGATGATCCACCCGGAAAAAGAAAATCCTACACTATATCTCTTGAGCTGCAGTTTAATTCAGTTTATTTATATATTGTCAAATTAAAACACATTATTTTAAGGCACTTTACAATTCACCAGATCATACAGTGAAATTGATATAAACGTTTCTATCTAAGGAAAACCAGTTGATTGCATTGACTCAAGGTGGGAATCCCTCACACTGAGCATGCTTGTGGCGACAGTGGAGACAAAAAAAACCCTTTTAACAGGAAGAAATAACCTCCAGCAGAACCAGACTCAGTGTGAGCGGCCATCTGCCGAGGCCCACTGGGGTTCAAGGAGATAGAAGCAGACATTGATAAAGAAGCAGAGATACAACAGGCAACTGTAAATAAGCTCCACAGGTGGCCCGGTCCAGGAAACACACAGCCAAGCAGACAATCTCGATCTCGAACATCTATAACCAAAGATGTTGATGGCAGCAGCGCAGTTGATATCTGCAAATAGAGATAGAATGAAGCAGAATGATTTAAAAGGGGTCCTTATGTCCTCCAGCAGTCTAGGCCTATAGCAGCATAACTATAGAGATGGCTCATGATAACCTGAGCCACTCTAACTATAAGCTTTATAAAAAAGGAAAGTTTTAAACCTACCCTTAAAAGTAGAAGGGTTGTCTGCCTGGTAGTTGGTTCCACAGGAGAGAAGCCTGATAAACAAAAGATCTGCCGCCCATTCTATTTTTAGAAATTCTAGGATCCACTAGTCAACCTGCAGTTGAGAGTGAGAGCTTTGTATTGAGAGCTTGGCCATTCAAGGCTATATATGTGAGAAGGATGTAACAGTAAAAAAGCTGCAGAGAGGTGTGTTAAACTACGACTCTGCTTCTGGTCAGCACAGTGGGCTGTCAGTGTTTTGGAGGACTAATACATTTGGCCAGATTCATAGAAAGAAGAGCTGCACCAACCAAAGTGGGATGGATGCTGTACCTCCAAATTAGATCAGGCTTTCCCCAAAAGGATTGCCAAATATTAATGTAGCCCACGTTGTTTTTAGGACACAACCTAGACCACCAGCCGATGCTGCTAAACATGTCATCACTGGTCAGATCAGGGAGGGGACCAGAGAAAATTACGGTCCGACATTGTTTTGGCAAACCTACACACTGAAGCAACACTAATTTTAGTGACCTCTGATCGGAGTAACCGGGTGTCATTACCGCCAGCATGAATACAAATCTTACCTTATTTAACCTTATCTTTAGCAGTTTCAGGTAGGATTTGAGGTTGCCCGTTCTGGCCACCGGCAAACATTTGACTATGGTCCCTTGTGTCTCTAATGCCATGTTTCTGACTATGGAGCTGCCAATTGCCAGAGTGTGCTTCTTAGTGGTTGCGTCACTGAGCAGGGAAAATAGGTTAAAAACATGGATGGGTTGGTGGTGACCAGTGGGCAAAGATCCATGACTACTCTTTTAGTTCAGGAATGAAGTTCATTTAGTCATGTTGTCTGTGTCCTTCCCAATGTGGCCATCTCTTTCAGTCCATGGGCAAAGAGAATGTGTTTAGGGATGAATAGAGGCTTTATACTAAGCACTGGGGGGATAAGGTGGGGGGTGGGAGTGTGATGTGTCTCTCGGAGTGTTTTGCATTAGGGTGGTGCAGCTTGGGGGTCTGCAAAGCAGCAAAAAATGGCATCATCCTCCACCAATATGAATATCATGGCTTATGGTATGACACTAAGGAATTCTAAAAGTATTTAAACCGTATACAAAGTGAATGAACATATTCCTTATGTGCCCATGATTTATTATGTAAAAATGTAGCCTAAATAAAAGCTTTGCCTAAAACACAACTTTACACAATGTGCTGCAGCAGCTT